TGGACTAATAAAGATAGCGTCATTCTCATCCATATTTTCCTTATGCATTGCTACAAATGTTTATAATCACTTCATCGTAGTTCCGACGATAATTATAATTTATAACAATAATAAAAAAGAGATGCGTTTTATAAGAATGATATCATCGTGAATTATTGTTGGCGAAATGTGTACCAGTGTAGTCATGTCGTCAAAATAAAATAAAGAAAATGCATAAGGAAACAAGCTAATATTATTAATAAAAAAGGAGATGCGTTTTATAAGGATGATGTCATCGTAAGTTATTGTTGGCGAAATGTGTACCAGTGTAGTCATGTCGTCAAAATAAAATAAAGAAAATGCATAAGGAAACAAGCTAATATTATTAATAAAAAAAGAGATGCGTTTTATAAAGATGATATCATCGTAAGTTATTATTGGCGAAATGTGTAACAATAGTCATGTAGTCAAAATAAAATGAAAAAAATGCAAGAGATAAAGCTGATATTATACCAGAAGCAAGATTTGCTAATTTTCAGATAAAAAAAAGAACTCTTTCCAATGTGTGTAATATAAATAAAAACATATCTTAAAATAAAATAGTAGAAAAAATTATAAATATAAAATAAAATAAAATAAAAAATAGAGAAAAAAAGAGAGGATAGTTTTTGAATTCATTATAGTATCATCCTTATCAGCACCTCGCAAGGAAACAGAGTTGCATTGAAGTGCAACGACGCCTTCGGCTTTGAGCTCTCTTTTTTCGAAAGCTCATTATATTTTTGCAATCTCACTGTCACCTGAAGACATTCAGTAAATGCGATTATGATCGGCTCACTGTGTATACATACACATATCAATGCAAGTTTAAGTACGGCAAAACGATCTACATCCATTCGCGGCAGGAGGTATGTCCTCCTTAACGATTGCAAAGTTCTACGCTGACTATAAAAAGTCAATGTTACATATCCAACAATAAGGGCGATTAGCGACGATCGTCCCTGATCCGCGACAATGACTGCGAAAACGTCATCTTTGCATTTCAATTCGCCTTCTTTCAGTCTCTCTCGCGAAAGCTCGATATACACTGTAAAAAAAATATGTAAAATTACATTAAAAATATATAAAACTACATAAATAATAAATAATAAATATTGTGTAACATTATGTTGTAGAAATTTCACTTGAAAAGGACCACAACCAAATGGTCGAAACGTCGTGAAATAATCAAATAAAATTGCTAGTTACGTCGTAGTCAAGTTGTTTAAGCTTAATAAATAATAAATGTAAAATTACATGATAAATAATGAAAAAATAAACATTTCTATTATTTATCGTGTAATTTTACACTTATTATTTATGTAATTTTACATATTTTTGTGTAATATATTACATATTTTTTACACTTGTATTTTAGCTAATACAATCCAATTCTTGTCCGAATTTTATGTCAATAAAATTACTTATTTTCAAATTAACATACCACCAAAAAAAGAAGAAACAATATACACATGTCCTTCCATTTGTAAATTGTCATTTCTTAAATTTACAAAGAGAAACTTGCGAAAGATAAATTTAGGTAGAATCTTAATTTAATTAATGCATTAAAATGCATAATTCACATTTACCATATGAGCCTAAACTATTATTACTGTTCGAAAGAACGTCCTTTATTTATGCTCGAAGAATCGCGAACAACTTGTGCGATCGATTCGATCTAATTGAACGTGTGTTAGCTAATTTAACATGTCAATGTTTATCTTGAACAATTCATGGCTCAGAACTTATTTATTTAATTGGCGCCTATCGTTCTTTTTGCGCAAATTTCCTTGATGCGCCTTTAAGATTGAAATTTCTTTCGAGATCACCGGCGGGAATTATACGATTGTCGAGGCCTTCGAAATCAATTTCCGATCCAAGGAGATATCTCTCTTTTTCTTTTCTCTCTTTCTCTTACTCGACTGACCTGAAATCCCTCTTACATGAGTCTCCTTACGAGAGCTCACATGTGGAAATAGACGAAACGGAAATACAATGCTGCGATCTCATTAACAATAAATTATTTTATTATTAAATTAAATTATCAAATTTATATAAAAAATATATTATTGTGATATGTATATATTGAGCGTGTAAAATCCTGCGCACAACAGAGAAAATATTAAGAATAATAAAAATTAGTTTAAAATAATAAAATTGAAAAGACTCTGATAGAAAAATACAAATTCTCTGATAGTAAGGACTAAGAATCTTTTATATCCACATTTGTATTTGTATATATTTGAGTTTTTTCGATTATTTTAGAATGATTCATATTTCTAATATTTAATATTTATTCCTCTATTGTGCGCAGAGCTTAAGAGTTGTTATTATTATTGTTCCTGCACTGAAAAAAAAATTATTGGATTCGGATAAATATTTATTTCAATATCGCTTAATAAATTATTTATTTGAAACTAATAATATTGATTTGATGTCAAAAATATTTATTTCATATAAGAAAATTCTTTTCAAAACTGATAAATATTTATTTGTTTCAAATAAATGATTTATTAGGCGGTATTAAAATAAATATTTATCCGAATCCAATAATTTTTTTCAGTGTGCGAAAGATAAAATTAAAATATATATATTATTAAAAAATGCATATTTTTCACTCAACCCGTGTTCTATTTATAAGTAATTACAAGAAAGAAAAAAAGAGAAAAACGTTCTACTAGCAACTGATTTATGATCATTTTTTCGCAGTTATTGTCTCCAAATTTATGCATCACAATTTTTTATAATCGACAGTATTGCACATTGATAGCGATTCTAATTTGTGTTTACCATAATATATACATAGGTTCGAAAGCATAGATCGATCCGCCAGATTAATTTTCATCTTCTATGACATGATTAATGTTTTAATTTGCATATATTAGTTTGTCGTAGACACTAAATTGCAATGTGTCGTCGCGCGGCGATATAAATCAGTGTTTGACAAGTATCTACAATACTATACATAGAAATCATTTTCTTTTATAATTTACTCTGAAAATCATGGTAATCGTGGGACAATATGGTATTGAAAGAATTTTATAAGAGTTTCTTAATATTTTTTTACCATAATAAAAAATATTAATATTAACCACAAGATATAAAATATATTCGATTAATTTTACTGCATATATTATTTTTTATTCCTTGTAAATATTATCAGAGAAACTTTTATAAAATTCTTCCAAAAAAAAAAACAAATATATTACATCCCATAATTATCATGATTTTCAGGGTAAATTCTAAGAAAAAATTCTCTTCGTGTAGATATAAAATATATTCGATTAATTTTATACTGCACTTCCAAAAAAAACAAATATATTATCCCATAATTATCATGATTTTCAGGGTAAATTCTAAAAAAAAATTCTCTTCGTGTAGATATAAAATATATTCGATTAATTTTATACTGCACTTCCAAAAAAAACAAATATATTATCCCATAATTACCATGATTTTCAGGGTAAATTCTAAGAGAAAATTCTCTCCGTATAAAGACATGCAAAAAAGTGATGAGTTTTTTTGATTAATATTTACCACCATAAAAAATGTGTTTTTTTGTGTAAAAAACGTGTTAATATTTTTTATTTTATTGTAATAAATATTAATCAAAGACACTCTTACAAAATTCTTCCATGATTTTCATAAATTCTAAGAGAAAATTCTCTCTGTGTATAATAATCGTATTTGATGACACATGTAATTAAAAGACGGTGCACGAAAATACGATAAGTCTCTCATTAATTTGAAGTAATTTTTTGCGACCCTTTTAATTTTTATAAATCCGATTGAACTTCTCAACACAAGTAAATCTCAAATAAAATCGTTACATATCGCAATCGCGATATGCAATGATTTTATTTGACACTTTTAGAGATAGTTAGAGGGAGATTCGAGCCTCCGCGAATCAATGTTCTGTTTGAAGGTCTCGGCTCATTGATCTCGGCGATGATGTGAACAAACGAAAGTCATCTCGACCAGGAAATACGGATTCAAGGATTCGTTTAACACGGGAAGCAACAAGCAACAATCTCCGTGACAAATGACTTTTATGCAAATCACGAAAACCGCAAGCTACTTCCGTTTCTGATTACACTTTGTCGACAAGAATTTCGAGTATTTCCGGCTGATTGAGAAAAAATTCACGTTATCTATGTGTACACGAAGAGAATTTTCTCTTAGAATTTACCCTGGAAATCATGGTAATCGTGGGATAATATGGTATTGGACGAATTTTATAAGAGTTTCTCTCATTAATATTTACTACTAGAAAAAATATTAATATGCACATAATAAAAGTAATCGAATATATTTTATATCTTATTGTGGATATTAATATTTTTTATCGTAATGTAAATATTAATCAGAGAAACTCTATAATAAAATTCTTCCAATATCATATTGTCCCATGATTATCATAATTTTTAGGGTAAATATACTAATTGTAAGAAAAAATTCTATCTGTGTACATGTTTCGAAAACATCGATTTCACAATATCAACGTAAAAACAATATTTAATTATACGATTCTGAATTGTTATAGTTCGCCAGACATGAATATATCTTAAGATCTTTTAATTAATATTCTATAATTTCCAATTATCATTTTTTTTATCTTTTACTTTAATGATCCATTCATCATGTAATGCCTAATGCATTTTACATTTTTTAATATGATGTTTAACTGAAATAAACACGTTCCATTACGGCAACACGTATTCTATCATAATTGTGATATATATTAGATTGTTATGTTAATTCATATTCTTCAATAATTAGGCTATAATTTGCAGCAGTTAATTCGCACTTTCGATGTCGTAATATCTACATTTCTTGATACTTTTTATAATTTTCATGTATATGAAATAGATGAGAACGATGATTAATTATGAACGCGTTAGATCGTATATTAATGCGACAATGACACGATATAATAACTGATATAAGAAAGCTTGAAAAAATATATTTGAAATACATCTTACGATATTTTTTTCTTAAATGTAGCATTACGACGATGACGACCAAATAATCAATGTGACGTACAATTTTAACTTCCTGCTGTTGATACATCATATCTTTGAAACTGCACAAGAAGAATCGTCACACCGTCATATTATTACGGCAGTAAACATAATCATCATAAGTTTATTAAAGACCCATTATTAATATGCATGTCACGACATTCGCGATGCACTCATTCATTATTAAATGCATCGTTTCGTCGAAACATCCAATCTTCATCTTGCTTTATTCCGAAAAAAGATTTAAAAATGCGTTTAGTAATGCCTCTTTTTCTACCTTGTACAGTATTGAGTCAAGATTAAGAGATTACGTACGAAACAGATTGAATAAAATGACACAATAGCAAAATATATGTCGGAGGATGATTTGATTATTCAATAATCATCATTAATTAACACGGTGAATTACATAAATGCGATTATATATGATAGCGATAAAAAATAATGTTTTAATACTATTATTGTTTACATCTATTAATTGCGGCGTAACTCGCGAGAAAATAATTGAATAATAACAGGATAATGACAAAAAATTGATGCATTTGATGCCAAAATTAATTCAATTGTTATCGAAGTGTTGCGTTGCATAAAGTAAACGATTAGAAGTTTTATCTCATACAAAACATACGGAGAGAATTTACCCTGAAAATCATGATAATCAGTGTAGTATTGGAAGGATTTTATAATAGTTTCTGTATGTTGATTAATATTTACTACAATAAAAAATATTAATATGCACATAGTAAATTTTCGTTGGATTTTACTGCACCGAAAAAAATTAATAAATATTTATTTCAATATTGCCTAATAAATCATTTATTTAAAACAAATAAATATTTGTTTTGAAAAGGATTTACTTATATCAAATAGATATTTTTCACATCAAATCAATATTATTAGTTTGAAATAAATGATTTATTTAGCAGTATTGAAATAAATACTTATTCAAATTCAATATATTTTTTCCTGTGTGTGTACATAGTAAAATTAATCGAATATTTTATATTTTATTGTAGTAGATATTAATATCTTTTATTGCAGTAAATATTAATCAGAAAAACTTTTCCAATAACATATTGTTCCAAGATTACTATGATTTTTAGAGTAATTTCTAATAGAAAATTCTCTCTGTGCATACAGATGCATGATCGTCAAGCGTTATAATAATCTCATTGATTCTTGTAAAAATGTTTCCATCGATCGAAGGAATAAGCACTCGTGCGAAAGAAGATCGGAAACATTTGCATAGAAATCTTTATCGAAGGTAGTGCGATTCGATGAATCATGTTTGTATCTATCGTTTTATGTAACTATGATATAATAACAGGGCAAATATCTACGTAGTCGGATAAGATAAGTCATATAAAGTCGCGCGTAATTGCTTTTAAACGTCTTTCGCGTAACCAGTTGCTAAATAATCCCTGCGCACAATTTATTTAAGATGGGCTTTAATTGCAAAGAGACATCGAGAGAACTATCGTCTTATAGATGTAATCTCGTGTAATGAAGGGTTCTTAGAAATTTCTCGTAATGCGAGATGCTTATGACCGCGCGATTACGTATAGTATAAGTATACATTATAATTTGATCGAGTATTGTTACGTCATCGTAATTCACGTGTGCTGTAACAAGTATCAGGTATATACTCGGATTGCGAATTCGCATGCATGTGCAGAAGAAAAGAAAAGAAATTTGATGATTCGATTTGTTGACAAATACATACACAGAGATAATTTTAATTTTCTCTTATAATTTACCCCGAAAATCATGGTAATTGTGGGACAAAATATTAGAAGAATTTTGTAAGTTTTTCTGATTAATATTTACAATAAAAATATTATCTACCACAATAAAATATAAAATATGTTCGATTAATTTTACTATGTACTATATGTAATTTTACTATGTACTATAGTAAAATTTTTTATTGTGATAATATTAATCAGAGAAACTCTTCTTATAAAATTCTTCCATTACCATATCCCACAATTATCATGATTTTTAAGATAAATTCTTAAGAGAAAATTCTCTCAGTATAGTTTCTGAATTAAGACAGATATTCGAAAAAAATTACTTTTAATCACACAATGGTTCTAATTGTTGGCGGCAACAATTCATTCGATATACTGAAAAAAAATTTGTTAACTTGACTAAACCTTTCAACTAAATTACTATTTTGTTAATTGAACATATATTAGTATTTAAATCAAATATACATTTTGTTAGACTTAATATACTATATTTAATTTAAATGTTTATATGTTCAATTAATAAAATGATATTTACATGATTGAAAAGTTTAGTCAAGTTAACAAATTTTTTTTAATATACTTATTTAAATAATATATCTAATTTATTATCAGTTACCTTATTATCATTGAGATATTTATGTTATATATATATTTGGCAATATATTTACGAATATCGCTTGTGTTACTAAATGTCAAACCAACTTTCAAATAAGTGTTGCAAAGTTTATCTCGCAGATAAATTGAACGAACTGAAAAGTTCTTCGAATTCATGCAAACTTTCAGTGAAAGTCAGTCAAGCGTCTAGTGAAATCATTAGTATACCGATTTATGATAGAGACGAGGCAAAAAGATCGCGAAAGTTCGCGAAGAAAATGCGGACATTATATCACGAATCTTCTACGAATATCTTGATGTAATATGGCGAAGGTAAAATTGCTTTATCGCTTCGCAATTTTTTTAATTATTCGCATATATCATTTTCCATTTGACGCAGAATCGTCAAAGTCAAATGATTCAATTCAAAGCATTAAATCGAAGAAAACAACAATCTCTCACGCAATGATGTCGTTTGCAATTTATAATTACGTAAAAAGATGCCATTATGATTTGTATGGCGAAAATATATATATGTATATATGATTACATTAAACTTGTCTATTTGTACAATCTTATCTCTGGGAACTGATTGTATATGAAGATTTTAAAATTTTAAAAAATAACATAATTATACATATTCAAAATAATCTTCACGTAATTTGACATTTACGTATATAATTACAGCGCTAATTATTAGCACAAAAATGATGTTATTCGCACGTGCTTCCATCGTCATTTAACGCAAACAAAGTGTTTTGAATATCATTCAAAAATAAATTCTAATCTCATGAATAATATAATGCGAAAAATGAAGAAAATAACATCTTATTTATATATTAATCATTATACATTATTCATTTCCTTTATTATTTCGGAATGTTTGCTATGTCAAACGACGACGGAAATCGTGTGAGTAACGTCACGTTGAGTTACGTAGATGTCAAATTAGGCGAGGATTGTTAATTGCGTTATTATATGACAGATTACGAAGATTTATAGTTATTAGGCGCGCGTTTACAATGTGAATTAAAACGCGGACGAAAAATCAAAATAATAAGATTAAATATGAATTTCGCGGCGTTATGCTTGTGTGCTCGACGAAGCGATTGTACTTGTGTGCAAAGTGCGGGACATACATTATGCAAGATACACAAGACGTCCTCGACAATGACCACTGTATACGGGTTACATTGGTACCGACGTCATTGTATTTATGTTGTTAATACGCCGACAAGATAATAAGACTGTGAGAGACGAGATACCCACGTGTTTCCCGCGCAAGAACAAATATTTTTTTTTACTATTTTATGCGATTTGTTAATGATAATGTAATTGCAAGTCGTAAAATTCGCGCGTAAAAAAGATTTGTTAATTTGACTAACCTTTTAAATATTATTTTGTTAATTAAACATATATAAAAATATTTAAATTAAATATAACATATTAAATCTAACAAAACGTATATTTGACTTAAACACTTATATATGTTCAATTAACAAAATAGTAATTTAATTGAAAAGTTTAATCAAGTTAATAAAAAATTTTTCAGTGTATTCTTCCACGTGACTTCCTTAGATTAGACTATTTCATCGACTTTTGTCTGAATAATTTTGTAATTTGATGCTATTCTTTGTAAGCAGTTGAATTCTTTGATATATATTTAAGTATCAAATTAAAATTTTTATTTATTATTAAGGTTCTCACGTAAAATTAGTTAAAAGAAATATATAATTCTATTATTTACTTTTTTCCTAAAAATATTTTGGGGAAATACACAGACTTTCGTGAAGTAAGTGATTCGATCCGAATAAAAGAATTTTACGCTCGTTTTCCACATTATATTGATACTAAGTCCTCTGATATAATAAAAATCTAATATGCGAAAAAACGATGCGTAATGTTTATGCGTGCACTTTATATCCCGTTACATAAGCGCGTATGTAATGATGTAATGCCTTGTTAATGATGTTATATAATCGATTGAGATCGAAAATTTATAAAATGGAAGAGCAATGTTCTAAAAATGAAAAAAAATTGAAAAAAAACAAGAAGAAGCCGAAACATCCGGTATATTTGCGATACTAATTAGTCCACAAAAAGAAAAAACCAACTGATACAAAGTTGTGTTAAAAAAAAGCCGTTGACCTTTTTGATTCTGCGACCAAGGTTCTCAATTAATCAACAAATTTAACACAAAAATAATCAAAAGAAATAATTATCGAGATTTAATTCTTACAGTACTTTTCAATTTAATGACGCGCGTGATCGGTCCCTTTATTAACGTCTTGAAAGATGTAGTTTATTTCGAAAATACACGAGAATTTTAAAGCAAGGACTAAAAACAATTCCATTTCTTTCAACTTTCAAAATCAAAATGTTTTTTTACTGATTTGATACATAACATTTTTCTCGCAAGGGACTGCATTCGAAAAGTTATTTATTTAATAAAATAATAAAATAACAGATTGTAAAATTCTTCTAATAAAATCATACTTATACACGAGTGCCTAAAATTTACATTTTTCGAAGCTAATAACAAGTGAAGCATAAATATTGCCGTTCAATTGCAAAAATAAAGCATTGAGCAGAAATCTATATCTGAAGATGGATACTTCAATACTTACCAATTAGAATTGTTTCTCAAATTGCACCAGTAGTGAGAAACAAATGTAAACATATATATAAATTGGATGTAAACTAGATGTAAAGTCAGAAATAAATCAATATAAAAAGAAACTGCATAAAGAGCAGTTACTTAAACTAATTTCTACTAGTCTGTTCGATATTTAACTGTATTTGATTTACAGTTGTTGTATCAATATAAATATATATTGCGCAAATATAATTTGCATATTTATCCATTTCACAAAAATTGCACGATTTTACTTTTAAATGCAAAATATTTAATATTAATATGCTTAGCATGTTAATATTTAGCATTTAACAAAAATTACAAATAGATATATATATAATCAATATGTAATCAATTAAAATTAGCATTAAAAATTTCAATTTTAAAATAATTATCACAAAATTGTGAATAATAAATTAATGAAATAATAATCAAAAACATGTCGTCAATGTTATAAGTAACAGTTAATTAATTAAAAACTGTCCTACTTATGCATTGACAATAATATTACATTATAATTAATGTTACATATTAATATCACATAAAGGAAAATGTATCGCATTATACTTTTCTCCAAGGAAGTTTTTAATTAACACTTTATTTTGTTAACTATATTTGTACAATGCGATATATTTATGGCAGAGGTTTGACATTACAAACATACACTCTGCAGCATCAATTGAGTAAATCCTAGAATATGCAATTTCTACATATTTATATATATATGTATATATACCTGTTTTTAGCTCCCTCGATACTTTCCAATCAGAAATAGTCATTACGAGCAAAATAAATTTTACTCACGCACATTAACCGTTTTATCTATAGATGCTCTGTATGAGTACAGATATTTAGAGGCATAGAATTCTTTAAAGTATTGAGCTCTGTAATCACGATTTTCACCCATCGCGTTATTCACTTGTTGTTCAAGTTGCCTAACTTTTCTAACCTGGTTCTCATGGTATATGTAATGCAGATATTTTTCATATTCTTGTTGCTGCGATGGAAAAAAGTAGCGTTGCAGGAATCTTTTAATGGGATGCTGCAACAAATGTAGAAAATATTCTTACATAATATATCTAAGAACAGTTAATATATCTATAGTATATAAAAAATGTTAAGTATGCAATAAATTATTGCCAGTAATTCTTACCTGAAGATACTCCCATTCTTTTGGAACATAATCTTCAGGGATTTCCTCCAGTGTAGCAGGACCAATAAACACGTTAACTAAAGTGATTGCAATGCCAACAGGTATAGCACCGAGTAAAACATAAAAGTGAAGATAATCTTTTGTTTTGTGCCATTGGAAACGACTCGGCTGAATGGCCAATGTGCGTTCTGCGGACATACATCTTATTTGTCCTGAAAACATAAAAACAGTTTAGAAATTATAGCCCATACTAGGACAAATAAATTAATAATATCAAAGATTAAGAGAAGCCATAATATTAATAAAATCCTAGCAACCAATAAGTAACTATATAGCTCTCTAACATTATCACAAGTTATCATTTTTATTATTAAATAATTTTATTAAGAAAAAGATAAGAAATATATAAAGAAATAGCAGAGTAGAATTACTAATAAATAATATATGGGTGAAGAAACTTATTATAATAATCAATGTTAAAATATTATCATATAAGGTATCAATATAGGTATCTTATAGATGTTTTAGAGATAATTAATAAATAAAAGCTAACAATTAAAATAAATAAAAATAAAAGTTTTAATGTTTTACTAATTATTTCATAACTGTAGTCTCCTTTTTCGACATGAATATGTCCACGAAATCATATTCCAAAACACTGTGCTATTGTTGCGTAACAAAACACCGGTATTTGCAAAAGTGTATTGATGAGGTTTACAAATATTTATTTAATGTTATAATTGTAAGGAATTGCACATAAATAATCACCGTTCTTCACCAATGCCGTTCTAAAACTGCTGTTTTGCAGCAATTTTTGACTCGCAGTGCGCAAAATGTTACTCCACGCCGCCATTTCTCTCCGATATGAAGGAATACAAATGTGACAAAGATTAAATGGAAATAGAGTATTTACCGACTGTAGGAAAAGGAGGATCGCAAAGTATACTAGTTTTTTTCAATAGATGGCACTCTAACATTTCGTTATTGCAATTGGCTAATGTCTTTTATTTGATAATAATAAAAAATATTTAAAAAATTGGATAAAATGTTAAAAAACTTGGATAAAAAACTATTTATTTTCTTACTTAGATTTAATTTAATATACAGGAAAATATATACTATTATAATTAAAATAATATATTAATATATACTGTTTAATTATTTATTATTATTAATAAATTATATTTTATTAATTTAATTAATATACTAATAATTATATAGAATTTTTATATTGACGTTTCATCGAATCATGAGAATAAAATGATATAATATACTACCTAATAAATATACTCTATTAATTATAATTATTAAATCAATAAAATAATTATTTTATGCTAAATATAAAAATGTTAAATACAAAAATGAATATATAGAAAAAGTTATTTTTAAATCATATGTAATATATACTTAAAATAGATATGTTAAGATAAATAAAATTACATATATATACATATATATATGTATAATAATTGTGCATCTTTTGCAATCATTATTATATATCTTTGTTAATTTTAATTATAATAAATTATGATTATATTATATAAGAGCTAGATTTGCGCCATTAAAATTGAACAGCATATTTGTGTATCGTTTTCCTGGTTTTTAAATGAACAATAAAGGCGTCTATTAAGTCGGAAATTGTTTTAATACGTTCACATCAATGTGATCCGTAATAGTAGACAGCGATACCGTCAATTTAAGTCGGGTTAAATGAACAATTGAACTTGAGAAGCGATTGTAAATTATGTATGTAATACCCGGTAATCTTTGTGACAGAATCGAAGAAAATTCTGGATTATATCATATTGATATCATTTTTCATCACGGATGTTTTCTTCTTTTATGTAAGTATTTCTATTCCTCTATGTGTGCGACAAAGTACAAAGCTTAATAACAATGCGTAATTATACATATATATGTAATGATCACGAATGATAAATACTTGCGAACATGTCGAAAAAAAAGAAAGATCTGTTGCGCGACAGATTAGTGATTACCCAGTAAGCAAAAAATCATTGCTACAACGTTATTATTGTTGTCAAATATATAGTTTTTAACATTGTATGCAACATCATTATGAACAAACTTTGACATCGATTTAGAGGTTTCGGTAATGTTGAAATTAACATTTTTAATATATTTTACTAATATTTTGAGCAATATATGTTATTAAATAATATTTTTAAAACATTGATAAAACATCAGTTAAAATATTTTTTTAGAATATTTATTAATAATATTTTAAACATATATTTATATATATAAAACATTATATCATAACGTTTAGAAAATTTATATAAAATCAACATTATAAAATGTTGATTAAATATTTCTTGCTTACTAGGTAATAAGTTATAAATTTCCAGTGTCTTTCCCAGATAGCACCATGTTTAAAATGCACGCATAAGTCATCATTAAGAAATCTTTAAGACATCTTTAAGAAATCTTGATATGATATCCCAAAGACATCTTGAAAACATCTTAAAAATGTCTTATGAGTGCATTTTGGACATGGTGCTATCTGGGTTGTGTCTACCTGAGTTTAACGACATTAATACAATTACATTATCGAATTTAGAATAATATTTTACTTAATCTTTCAGATTTCTTGATTAAATTTAATACAAAAATGTAATACTTTCATATAAAAATTTGCATAGCACAGAGTATCTGTAAAAATTTGCATAGCACAGAGTATTGTTTTTACGAATAGACATTTTGCATTTTTAATTCTTATGCAACAAGAAGCGTCATTAAAGTGTAACAAAATTGTTTTTCACATTCATAAATCTCGAAACTATAAGAATCTTAAGATTCTTATAGATTCTTAAGATTCTTATAGATTCTTAAGATTACGGTATCTATACGATATCGAGTATAGTTGATTCACAGGCACAAGAATTTCAAATGTGCGTTTGTACGATACGACACAATGTCATACAAACATTTTCTACTTCCTCATCGCTGATTACGCAAAGTGATAGATTAAAGATAATAGAACGACGATAGCAGGGTGGTGCGTTGGAACATGAATCATTAATTTTATACAGATCGATACGATCGGTATGACAATAATGAAATGCACAATCTTGTATAATGCCTTGTTGCCTTGGTAGATTATCACTTATATGTATGTATTTTTTTCATGTAAGTACATTTTTATTATTTTAAGACTTTGAAATAACTGACGATTACGAGAAATTGATTAATCTTAATTTAGTCTTATATATTGTTAAATATTAAAACATTTCTTCCTAATAGAAATTAACATCTATCATTCTTTTTTCACTTGTTGATCTTTAAACTATTTACTTTTTTTACTAAATTATACTAATAAGTGTCGTATACTAATAAGTTATATTAAAATTCCGCAAATATATAACAAAACTGTCTAATTAAAATAAAATTAAAATAAATTGAATAATGTAAAATTAAAATAAATTATAATATAATTTTAATTTTAATTTAATTTTAATTTTGAAATTTTAATTTTAATTTAATTACAAAGATATTTGGAGTTGAATATTAACATGTTTTAGATTGAAATTTTGCCTAAAGAAAATCTGTGTATAAAATAAAGATTGAGAGTTTTAGTCCGTAAATTTTTCAATATATTTTCAACATCAATAATTTCTCACAAAACAATCTTTCATAGAGTCGGTTCTAAACAAGTGAGTCATATAGATCACGAGTCGTTCTCATTTCTTTCCCAATTCTTTTGTGTGCTAACAAAAAAATGGAATTTTACTGGTTATAAAGAAAATAACAAAAGAATAAAAATAGAGATATAAATTATCGTCATCAATCTTTCAAAAAATATTTCACAATTTTAAATTAATAAATAAATATCAAAGTTACCGCGTCTTCCTATAAGTCTTTGTTATATCAAATATTGACGTCCTTTTTCTAAGATTCTCAAAATCATAAAATAACTACATAATTACGAGTTTAATAAAATGAATAAAATAAAATAATTTTGGTAATCGGATAACGTTTTGATATAAATTTATATTAGTTTTATATATCAATTCTTCATCTTAGACAATATCACATCCCAGATAGTACCATATCTAAAATGCACGCATAAATCATCATTAAGAAATCTTTAAGACATCTTTAAAAAATCTTATGATATGATATCCCAAAGACATCTTAAAAATATCTTAAAAATGACTTATGGGTGCATTTTGGACATGGTGCTATCTGGGATATAGTAAAGACCGACGCATAGGCCGAATTAGGAAGTAGGGCAGGGTCGGGATTGGTCGTCGTAGCATGACAACAGGGTCTGAGCAACCCTTAGAACCGATCACGCTGACGGATAATGTGTGCTGACGGTGCGTGAGCGCAAGTAGGGGAACGAGTCGACGAGGTTTTCAGATACTCAGGACTCAGTCGCCCACCGACCGCGGCGTCGAACAGAGGAAGCGGGTTCGTTTGCTGATCGATCCCGGATAGCGTCGCGTCAACTCTTTTTTTCCACGAGGAAAAGCCACGGAAAAGCGAGGGAAAGAGAAGTTCTTCACCTTTTCGACTGTTTCGGTTTAGCTGTTCTTCGCTCTAGTTCCTTGACCTTTACGAACAGTCACAGTGCACCCGGCAGGAGATCGATTCTCGGAGCAGGAGGAAGCTTGGCGAGGTGAGTGCTCTGTCAGACAGGGACTGTAGAGATTTTTGTGTAACTCAATAAATTATGGAACCTCATGGAACCTCAGAATCTCACGAGTCTCACGATTTTTAGAATGTATTGTAGATATTTTATTTTTAATTTAAATTTCAGATGTCTTTGTATTATTATTTAAATTGATTTATTTTCTGTTTATTTAATATTTGTATTATTGTTTTCTGGAAGAAGAACGGGGCTTGTATTATAATTTTTTAAATATATTTAAATCTCTACTGTCATCAATTGGCTCGTTGATGCATTATTATTTGCATATTATGGAGGAGAAAATAACTTTGTGTTTAAACTTTGGAGAGAGAAAAAGAAAAGAAATAAATGATAGCAAGTAATGGCAATCTAAAAAGTATACCTGTATGTGTTTATTTACTGCCAGTATTTCACGCTTTGTCAGGGCGTTGATCCGTTCTGGATCGATCGATCCTTTCGAGGTCTTAACCGGAAGCGTGCAAAGATGTCATTAAAATGTTCAATGTCAGAGCGATTCTTGAATTTCCGAGCTGCATCTGAAAATTTGTTCATCCAATCAGTACAATTATTTGCTGTGCTTTGTAAGATTAAATTAAAAAAATCTTTCGTCAAGTTGTCACAATAAAGTTTGCGAAGCAAATTTCATCATAATGTGAATATTTTATATAAATTAAAATTTTTATATCGAGATGATGGAATACAAATGTAAAAAGATCCTGCGAGACGTAGAAACGTAAGGAGATATCGATAGACGTGTTTAGTAAGTCAGCGGAAGTAGAAAACAAAGACGGCATGTTATCAGACCAGTGCGACTTATCGAGAGGAAGTTTAATTAATGTAGTACTCATTCATCGAGATACATCGATAATTCTATAAGATTTTATTAGATTTTAAAATTTATACAATTTTCTACTAAATGTTTACGTTTCGATGACAACAGAATTTTTTCGTGACAAAAATTTTTATTGTAAGCATTTTTCTGTGTCTATGCTTCTAACCATAAAACGTCAGCAAAATTCAAAGCTATAAATTATTTAAATCAAGCTGCATCATGAACTTCACACATTATTATTGACGTTGTGCAATTGCTTTCGCGTTGCAATAGACGATTTTTACAACCTTTATCTCGCGAAGTAATGTGTCACGAGAATCTCATAAAATAAGAATTTATTTTAGAATTGATCGCACCAGGATTGCTTATATCAAGTTTACACAAAGTCACTGTAGAGGCAAACATTTCATTATTATTAGCCTTTTTATTTATTTTCCTATTATCCGTTTTCGTATTATATTATTCACATTGCTTGACTCTTTGTTTCCTAATAATAACATCACAGATAAGTTTGTATTTAGAAGAATAACGTACGAAATTTTAACTAATTTGTATCTGCGAGTCACATTACAGTTAATAGCATTTAACTTGTAATTAAACTGTGCGCAAAATTGTTGACTATATAAGTCAAAATATTTAAATCTATAATGAAAAAAATGTTAATGGTTCGTGCTTATACAAAGAAATTATAAAACATAAACGAAACGTAAATATAAAAATATAATACACGTAATATTTCAAAATAAAATATATTAAAATATTTGTACATGCAAAAGAAAGAAACTGCTAATTAAATAAGATTAATCTGAATTTTTTATAATATTACTGCCAATTTTTTTTTTTAATTTTCGAGTTGTATATTGCTTCCGGTGAAAGACACTTTAAAAGCATCGCTTTCACAAACTAAGTGCCTATATTTTAGAAAACTTCTTAAATTGCGGAGGAAAATTGTATATTAATGTGACCTGACATTTGCCTCAGGAATTCGCATAATTTTCTCATATTTGCATCAATAAACTGCAACAAACCGAAGATCGTTCTTCGCGATAATTGTGCGATATAGCAAGCACTCATCCTTGTATTGCAACGAGCACGCATTTACCTATGAATGCCGACTAATTCTTTCCTCCTTTGCATGACGTAGTCGATAAGAAAAAAAAAAGAAGATTCGTGACGCTAAGATCATCGATAATTTTCGACTCTTTCATGCCATATCTTATCGCAAAAAATTGTATTGTTTACACAAAGTCCAATTTAACTAATATCCAATTTAAATATTAACAAAATTGAATAATACAATACTAATTAAAAATCATCATTAATTAGTGAACAAAATCGAACTTTATTACTTGAACAGCTAAATCATTTCTCTCTCTTTTTTGTTGTTTTATCCTCGTAAGCAATTTGATTCTTCACGCTGTCGGATTCTAGCACAAGCATCATTGATTCAATGATTTCTCGATTCCTTGATGCTCGCTCGGGTCATCGGGGGAAGTCATGCGGGATGAAAGTCGGGTGAAGCGCGCGCGAGTAATTTAGATGAAATCGCCGGTTATACGACTCGACGAGCTCGATTCTTCTGGAATCCTCTGGTAGTGATCGTTAGGTACCATCGAAGCCGTAGAAACGTTTGATAGCAAATCCACGCTCACGCGATCACGCTGTTTATTCGCCACGCACGTTGCGATGATACGGGTTTTATCGTGGATAAATACATACGAATGTTCGTAACGGAGAAAATAAATAATAGTAATCGGAAGACATCCTATAAGTTTTCTATTTTCATTTTATTTTGTCTCTGTTTAAAGTTAAAGATAACTGGCGAGGACAAGTGATAAAGCGCGTGAAAGATAAAGTTCTGTCAAAAATTGATGACAAATATGTATCGCGTTTTGTTTTGATTGTGAGGCGCAAGGAGAAAAATCGGTTTTGCGTCCGACAGAGAAAGTTATGCACGCAATGCCCTGACCACAAAATTGCTGTAACGCTCTGACCGAGATATCAGATAGTTTTATTGAAAATAAAGGACGAATGAGACAAATCGTTACTTATAGGAATCTGATTCATTCGCATCTAATTAATATCCAACGAAAAGGGAGATATTAAAAAAAAATGTGACTAAAACAGGGGAGAATTTCAGAGACAATAAATTTTATAAATATTTAATTATATATTAATATTATATAAATTTAATATATAAATATTAAATTATATTAATATTATATTAATTTAATATATAAATATTAAATTATATTAATATTGTATTAATTTAATATATAAATAGGTATTAAAATATTAATATTAATTTTATAAATATTCAATTATATTTTATACAGTGTTATATTGATCAAAATTCGAGTGACGTTATGACTTAATTTCAGGCTAAAAAATGTTGGCTAGTCAGGACAATATTGAGCAGAGTTGATGAAGACCTATTCCTGGAGAAACACTTAATTGATTAATAAGAGGAAAGAGAGGACACAGGAAACATATCGCTCGTTGATCAATAATAATTTGAGGGTGAGGCAAGAAAAACAATGGATCCTTACTCATTAAGGTAAATATTATACCTATATTAATTTATCGCGCTTACGTCAAAGAAATCGCAAACTAAGTACAAAAATTTGCGATTATATAACGAATGATATAATTGTTTTTTCGTATTTATAATAATAGAATAAAGATGAAAAAGAATAAGTACGATTCAATTTATTTTAAGTCATCTTCTTCGATTTATATGATTTTATGTTTAATATAAGCGCTTGGAAGAAAAATTCACAGAAAAATAAAATTGAATTAATTTTTTATGTTGTTGATGGTTTATTTGATTTTAATTGTGTACGAGAAATATTCCTTCAGATTTTTCGACAAAATGTATAAAGATGGAAGCATAATTTTTTTTCGAAACGTCTAAGAAATACGCAGACATTGAATAAATAAGCACATGAACCGTCTTCATAAATATCCATCAAATCTTCAAATAGCTTAGACTTTTTCTTTTCTCTTTGTCGAGACGATTCTTTCCTATTCATGAATGATACACAATACACATACAATAACGAAGATTTAGCTAAAGCCTACCCTATTATCTGCTGACAATGAGTCCTTTTTTTATTTCGGCATTACCTAAATTCTAAGGAATTTTAATTCTGTGTTAATTAAGCGCACAATTTAAAACATCTTTAAAGAAAGATTTTTTAAATTTCTTCGAATTTTTTTTCTCGCCATACACTTCTATTTCAGTATTTCGAAAAAATATATACGAATTAAACAATAAATACGTTGAACAATCTCTGAGAATTATGAAATTGTCAGAGTATGATTCCGAATCAAGATAAAAGATGATAAACATTTTAAAAACGTAGATGAGCGATTTTATGCCCGCGGGTATTTCAACAGGAAGAGATTTACATACATACTTATTCGAGGAACCAGTTTCGCAAATCATAAGTTGAACTACCTTTAATTTGGCAGATACTTACAAAGTCTGAAATTATATTTTGCAATTCTGGCGCATTTTTTGCAAATATACAAGCAGTTATTTGATATTTGCTCTTTTAAAATTATAAATTGTTGAAGTCTCTGTGATTGTACGGGACACGAAAAATCTTCCATGGAAGAAATGAGATAGTTTTTTAATAAAATGTTTTGCTGATTTTTTATTGTATTTAAATTAAATTAAACGTATTGAAAGGACATTCAAATTCGATTACTGAATTCGTTGACAACTTATTAAACATTATTTTATTTTATATTTTAAAGTTAGGAATAATCTCCTAACTCATTAACTGGATATCGTTTTTGATATCCAATGTATTTAAAATACAATTACGATAAAATAATAAGAGTAATTTTCTATAATCAGGACGAGTTGGTTAAAAAAAAAGCTCACGTACATATCAATATTGATATATATTCGATAGATATACTATTTTTCAATTTATATCAGCAACAGGTTTTTCAGGTCGTACTTGAAAGGAGGGCTCGCGAATGAATTACTTCGATCGATTGCCAATTAATCTTTGACCTCAAGTTATGCGTATGACGTTAGTAAAGCTCGTGACAAATTGTCTCTCGAATGTCGTAAGGATACTTGTAGACCTAAACAGACGCAAGAGAATTTGCAGATATTAGTTTCGTGTCAGAAGCACTCACGTGTCGCACTCGCATTTCGCTAACAAAGTGCGATCGATGAGGAAAAATGATAAAAGCAATCATTTCAACTTGATAATAATTCCTAATATTTGTTTCATATTTGTCATGAGAAAAGAACATTTCTACACGGTGATAATTTTCTCTTATTATCTTCTTATCATTTTCTCTATTTATCCTGAAAATCATGTTAATTGTGGAACAATATAGCAATGAAAGAATATTATAAGAGTTTCTTTGATCAATATTTACCACAATAAAAAATATTAATATGTGCACAGTAAAATTAATCGAACGATTTTATATCTTATTGTGATAGATATATTAATATTTTTTAACTTTACGTATCGCAATATCATTTTTTATGTAATTAAAAAGAAATGTGTGCTAATATACAAAGAGAATTTTATCTTAGAATTTACCCTGAAAATCATGATAATCGTGGGACAATATTTGTTTGGAAGAAATTCATAAGTTTCTGTAATTAATATTCACCAAAATAAAAAAAATTAATGCCATATCACAATAAGATATAAAATATGTTCGATTAATTTTATGTGCACAGTAAAATTTATCATGTTCATATTAATATTTTTGATTGTGGTAAATAATAATCAGAGAAACTCTTATAAAATACCATATTATCCCACGATTACTATGATTTTCAGAGTAAATTCTAAGAAAAAATTCTCTCTGTACACAAGTAATTTTAAGATCGCCGCACTTGACATAAGGAATACGCGACATGAAATAGTTTGCGATGATGTAAGTTGCGCGTGATGGTCGCATGAGAAATGATCATTCTGAATCGAAATGCAAGGAAGTTGCATTACGAAGTCTTTTTTTATGCAAACGTTTCATCACAAACAGATTTGATGACAATTCTTTTCTTAAATTTGATTATATGCAGTTATATAGTTTATCACGACAGGGTATAAACACTAAAGATAATATAGTAAAATGATAATGCAGAATAAAATATCTTGAATCTTATCGAGAACATGCTTACCCGGAACTTTTTTGATAATATTTTCATGGAATTAAATTCATTATAAGCGATTTGAAGATGTTATCGATGATGCTTATAATGACGTTATTATAATATTCATAGAATGGTTTCCCAGACAGCACCAATCCCAATAACATTTTTGCATAAGATATCTTTAAGATGTCTTTTCGATATCATATCACAAGATTTCTTAAAGCTGTCTTAAAGATTTTTTAATATCTTATGCGTCACGTTTAGACTTGGTGCTGTCTGAGTTATTTGTAGATATACTTATACGTCTATAGCTAAATATTTTTTTTTATCTCGAGTACTTCGATTTTTTGCAATATATTAATTTCGAATAAAACATAATGGTAACAAAAAATTGTTTCTCGAATATATCGATGATTTGTCCGCCCGCGATTATTATTATGTCACGATAGTATTGTGCTTTATTGAATCAGAGCCAAGGTTAACGTCGAGAGTGGTTACGAGTTCAACGCGTCTACTTTTAGCGACGTAGCCTTAGGACACTCTCATGAAGAATCCTTCGATCGGCAGTAGCAGGTGATTTGTGATTCGGAACCCGCACGGAATAATAAACGGGTCTATTGTACCCGTTAATAATAATAAAAAGAAAAAAACACAGTTAATAATATATATCGCCTATCGCTGAAGAGTTGAACGGAAAGGAATACGGAACATATTTATAATTAGTCTCGCGAGTGAATATGTCCTCAATAACACGCAAAATACCGTGTAGTAGTCAGCCACAGCAATTAACTTGACAACATGTAGCGAAGTGAAATAACTACTCTCCGCCTATCGTTCGTATGAGAAATGTCAAATGTAAGTGCGCGTGCGATCGTACGAATGTAGCTGTCAAAGAAGTGGAGTAAAATATTTAAATGCGCACGCCCGATGAGTAAAGACTGACATAATGGAATAAAGCATCACATATATCCGCGAGCAAATATGTATATCGGATAGAATCGTTACTGCAAGAGTCGGTAATTTAAATAATTTACTTATGTCTGTGTGTGCCACGTGTGCTTTTGTATATATCTTGCGAAAAACCTCATATTGTGCGCCTTAACTTACAATTAGTACGACTAGTCGGGATATGTAGGTGGAAGAACAAAAAAATAAATAATGAATAATAAATGTTGCGTCCTGTTCTTCTCTTCACTTTGGCGAACAAAATTAGAAAAATGACTGAATCTCTAATACATTATTCGTAAAAAATGCATGATTTGAGAAATGAAAATCTGCGAATAATTTATCTTGCGGAGATCTTAGATTCGACTGAGAGGCTTGTCTTATTTTTGACGAATAGAAAATAATAATATAAATATTTGAATTTTTTATTCTAATTTTTTAAATAATTATATTATATATAAAATCATTTATATAAATGAGAGAAAGTTCAATATTAAATTTTGAGATGCTTTTACTTAATATTTTGCACTTTTCGTATGATATTTGAAGAAGTTACATGTGACCTTAGCAGAAATAGATTTTTGGCAAAGAAAGAAATAACAGCTTGTTATTTTCTAATAAACTTGTAATCGTTTCGAGAAAGGACGTCTGAAAAATATACATTTCGAAAATCATCGCATTTTCTGAGGTAACTGTATAACGATTGCAAAAAATGATTGAGGACTTATTATTGCATCTGTCCGTGCGGATTTCATAAGAATCTCGTATAATCGCGCATCGAATTTCATAAGAATATAATAATTTTATTCTCATCAGATAAGTGAAAGAAATGACCATGAAGATGCAATACACACAAAATTCCGAATTATTAATCTTTTTCATATGTCAATTAGCTGTAAACACTTTATAGCAAGTATTGCAAAATTTGCCACCCACGTTTATGACACAATTAGAAACCTAAAAAAAGGGTTTCGCGTAGATTGTTTTGAGAGATCACAAATAACACAGTAATATTATATAATCAATTAAATTGTCAAATATAATACAATAATTAGAGGCTAAATTTTTAGTAAGAAATATATCTAAAAGTATATGTATATACTTTTAATAGAGTCGTTAAATTGTAATCTGTTTGTCTTATTAGAGCTATTATAAGAAACTACGAATAGTTTCAATGAGTGGAGTGTTTGACACTACATATCAACTAACGCGCATTAATTCATTAAACACGTAATCGTATCTAACCAAGATCATCCAATTTATTTTTAGCCCAGAATAAACACAATCGTCTGTTCAACGAGAACGTTTTAGACGCTTCATTGTATCGAATTAATTAATCATTAACCAAGTGTCTGTGTGAATAGAGTTATAACAACAAAAAACACAGATTTACATCTATTTAAAAAACTGTATACATTACACATTTCATCATAAAAACCTCACGATTTATGTAAATTACACATATGCGAAATATTTATTTATATTAAATATTTCGCATATAAAAAAATTTATAATAAAATAACAACTTTTTTCACAAGATTTTTGACTAAATTACAAGACATGTCCACATAAAGTTGCCAATATAAAAACGATATATAAATTTATTGCAATAAATCAGATCTGATAATAAATAAAATACGATGCAGCAACGCGTTCGATAACCGATCCACGTGATGTCATTGTTATGCAAAATAATATCGTCTGGAAATTATTGTATTTTGGCTCGCATTTAGACAGCACAACCAGCGCCTCTCTTTTTCATGATAATTATTTAATTACTAATTACTTTCTCTGAACTTATACGCAGACATTTAAACAATATCACGTTGTAAATTAAAAACTTATATTTTTTATAAAAAAGATCAAATCATAATCGATAGTGAATTATTTATTTTATAAATATACTTTTGTGTCACTTGTATTTTACGTCATGATAATTTGTTCTCAATAATTTTTTCAAATTATCGATTTATATAAAAAAGTTATTATTGATATAATAAATAAAAAAAGAAAAATAAATAAATAAATAAAATATTTATTGCAGACACAATATGACATCAATGCCATTTATATTTAATTATACATATTATATTTGTATTTGTAATTGTATTTAAAAATATAAATTATTGTCTATATTTCGGATAAACTTAGTTTTCGTAACTCCTATAATATATAGATGTTAAATTCAGCGATTTATGAAAATTAATACGAGGAAAGAAATCAAAAATTTGATAAATATTTTTATTTACTTAATATAATCATGCTTCTCAAAATAATGCGACTTTTGTATGTGATGCTACAAATAAAAAATTGTTAAGAAAAATATAACGCTCATATTGCGTGTAATTTTATATCGAGATTTCGATATTTTCGATCTACAAAAATTATGTGATAAAAATAAGGCCAACTTATCGAGCTGAATATTCGAGATGTTCAGTCAACTACCATTTATTACATGTATAAATTATGAAACTACAGTCATTATATTAAAACTAACGCAAATTACAATCGTATATATTATCGTATATAGTATCGCTCGATAAGTTGGCCTTATTTTTATCACTTTGTTTTCAATATACGAGCGACAATTTGTATTAATTTACAAAAATTATATTATTAATCGGATCAGATAATAAAGAATATCATTATATAATACGAATTTGCTCTCTTTTCTGTATTTTACTTTTAATACACACTATATATTAATTACAATGCAACTATAAAATAAAATCATTGTATGTTTCTGCAATAAATTATTAATCGCGCATTATGCTATAATGATAAAAATGTTTATATTAAGTCATTAAGTTTAAGTGTTCTTTATTGTAAATATTTTGATTGTTATATACATGATAACACGCCCGAATTGAAATTCAACTTTGAATTTATAGCATCGTTACCGATGGCGCGTTTCGACATACGAATTTATTGTGAACTCAAAGTTTACAATCGATGCAATAAATATTTATAAAACGTTATTTAAAAAACACGTGATAAGACCAGGTGACATTCGCCGCGTCGTCACTTTAATAGTATGCATAGAAACGTCGAACAAACAATTGCAGCAAACGATCGCTGTATAAAAATTACAACAATGAGTTCGAAAGAATCGTGGTAGATCGTAAAGAAATGACAGTGAAATATTCACACCAGTGCAACGTATTATTTATCATGTTATTTATCGTTCGGTTTATTTGACGCATTGATGACGAATGTTTCAGCGTGGAGCGAGAGGCTTCGAAGAATATCGAGGAAAACGAGCGAGAGTGCTTCAAAGATGCGATCGTTTCAAGCAGAAGCCTCAACAAAGGTTTCGTCGAGCCGACGAATCTTAAAAATGCCATTCGAGAGGTATCTGCGAGGGATAATTATTCCTATTTTTATTTTATAGCAATAACCTGTTTTCGACGCGAACGTAAAATTTTTCCGAAACTTTATTTTTCCATCGAATAACGTTCAATCTCTCTTCTCTTCTTTAACCAATAAATTAAATTTAAAATAACGTTTTTATATTTTAATTAAAAACTTAAATAATATATATGAATAATTTATCAACATATTTAACAGATATCATAATATATGAGATAGAAAAAATTACAGATAAAAAAGCGATGATCGAAAGAGTAAAAAAATAGTGAGTCTCGCGAGGTATTTATTATGCGGAAACTATACTGTCGGCTTTGAACCTTTGTAGATTGTCGCGTGCATCGTCGCGGCATCTTTCCACATAGCAGTGGGTCTTACTATGGCATATTCAGCAACTCTCATTCCTCATCTCGAGAAGAAAGATGCGGAGCTGTATGCCACGAGAGAGCAGACTTCCTGGATAGGTAAGATTGCACGAATACGTAGCACAGCAATAATGATAATTAAGCATTATTCTGCCTCAAGGAGATTACGCATATTTTATAATTATTTATAATTATAATTATAATTATATTATAAATATATAATTATAATTATGATTATTTATATTATAATATATATTATATTATAATATAAATAATCATAATTATAATTATTTATAATTATAATTTTATAATTATTTTATAATATTTTAATTACGAATTGCAATAAATACTGAATTACCTCGTCATATCCGCGAATAATACGATTTGCGCTGATAGTTTCTCGAAATGATACGAAGCAATTAATTTTAATTTTTACGATACTGGAAACATTCCCCAAAAAATGTATATACTGTAAATATGTAATCAGATTTTGCGTAGTCATTATTGATAATATTGATAAGTGACTGCCTCTTTTATCGATAAAATATCGTCATGAGAACTTACGTAAAATTACGTAAAAAGTTATTGCAATTATCAGAGAAGAATCACGTGCGTGTGTGTCTGCTGTTTGATCGACGCGCTCGATCAAATTTCGTGCTTTGATTAAATTTGCGTTACGCAATTCAATCAATTTGCGCCCATCCGTATCGCAATCTTCGCACAACACGTGGACATTTACTGTCTTCGTGCTACACGCATGCTTTTAATCTAGAAAACCGACAATTGTTGTTGGCAATTCTAATAAGATTTTTATATTATCGCGATAATAATATAAAATTTTATTCTAAAGCATTATAAATAAAAATTGAAATTCGCAAAAGACTGCGATTAAAATGCGGGGAGAAATACAGATTTTTATATAAAATGGAAATGTGTATGCAAGGGTGCAAATCTAAATAAAATCAGACAAATCAAATAACAAATAAATAAGACGCACAAGATCAGAGAAAGCAAAAAATTCGATCGATCCGACTTGTTTCAGCCAGCCTGGTCGTGATTTGCGCGCCTTTTGGCGCCCTGTTGGGAGGCTTCCTGATGGAGACGATGGGTCGATTGAGGACCCTGCAGATCGGCGCGATTCCCAGCGTAATCGGCTGGGTGCTTATTGCCTGTTCGACGAACATACCGATGTTGCTGGTCGGTCGTTTGCTGTCCGGGATGTCAACCGCCCTGGCAACCTCGCCGGCGATTGTCTACATCACCGAGGTGGCCAGACCGGAACTACGTGGTTCATTGATCTCGTTCGGACCGACGCTGGCATCGTTCGGGATGTTATTGTCTTACTTAAAGGGTGCTTACCTAGATTGGCGACTAGTTGCCTGGCTCAGCATCATCTACTCGATTGTGCCGATTATTATGGTGCAATTCTGGGTGCCGGAATCGCCCGTCTGGCTCGTCTCGAAAGGGCGCATCGATGATGCCAAAAAGTCCCTGGAATGGTAAATCCATATTAAGCAAAGTTCATGAGATTCCTTACATTACTTCAAACAATATAGGTCATAAATAAGTATAAATTGTAATAATTAATTACAGTGATGAATTATTAATTATTAAGATAATATTAAAGTAGGACATCGATGAAATTTTAACTTTGTAATTAAATATTGCAAATTGACATATGTAATGAGAAACTTTGTAAAACTTGGTAATATTATTGATATTCGCAGTAGAAAAAATATTATTCGCAATAAACTTGCAAGATTTTAATCTCCGTGCAATGTTTCTATTTTTATCGCGTGCACGCATGTATAAATGATTAGTGACTCTATAATTTGTCGGTCTAGGCTTTACAAGAACGAGACGTCGCAAGGCAAAATGTCAGTGGTCGAGGCACAATTTACCACTATTATGAAAGAGAATGAAATTAAATTGAATGAGCAACGGCGGAGTAAACATGGCAATGCGTCGAATAAATTGCGAGGATTTTTAAAACCGACCGGATGGAAACCAATGGCGATACTCTTCTTGCTATTTTCATTTCAGCAGTTCTCCGGAATTTATATTACATTGTTTTATGCAGTGACTTGGTTTCAGGTAATCAAATATATTCCTTTTATATACATAATAAATTTAAATATTTAATTTTTTCTCTTTTATATGTTCCAAAAGATATATTCAATTTATAGTGATTTTTACAAATAGAAATATTTGGTTATCATCGATAATTGATTTATATGAATTGATGATAGTGTCAAAAGAGATAGTATGAGGAATATTATTAAATCTTTGATTTATAGGAAGTGGACGCGGGTGTGAACGAATATTTGGCATCGATTTTGGTGGGCCTGACGCGTTTTCTCTGCTCTATGGTGAACACTTGGCTATTAAGACGATACAAGAGACGACCGTTGTGTATAATTTCATCCTTCGGGATGGCGATATGCATGATTGTTTCCGGTTATTTCTCGTTGAACATCAAAAATGGCGATCGCAGCGGTTATTGGGTAAGTTTCACGATTAAACTACTACAAACTTGATATAATATATATATATATATATATATATATGGCTTTATTTTAAATTCAATTTTCAATCTTATACAGAGAGAATTTTTTCTTAGAACTTACCTTGAAAATCATAGTAATCGTGGAACAATATTGGCATTGAAAGAATTTTATGAGTTTCTCTGATTAATATTTTTTTACCATATAATAAAAAATATTAATATCTACCACAAGATATAAAATATATATTCGATTAATTTTATTGCACATCTTATTTTTTATTTCTTGTAAATATTATCAGAGAAACTTTTATAAAATTCTTCCAAAAAACAAATATATTATCCCACAATTACCATGATTTTCAGGGTAAATTCTAAGAGAAAATTCTCTCCGTGTAAAGACATGCAAAAAAGTGATTTCGATGTTCGCAGGTGCCGGTGCTCTGTCTGTTACTTTACGTGTGCACGTCGATGGTCGGGATGCTGACTATTCCCTGGACCATGACGGCGGAATTGTTCCCGACCGAAATCCGCGGGATCGCTCATTCCATTAGTTATTCCATGGCAAACGTGCTCATGTTCGCCGCGTTGCAGAGCTATCGAAGTTTGCAAGCTTTCCTGGGAGGTACGTGACATTTCGATTATTCAATTATATTCTTATCTGTGACGACATCCGATTAGATTATTATTTTAATATTTTTTGTTCAATTCTATTTATAACCTTGACATTACTATCGTTTAATCCAGTTTGAACGTTTTCGATGATAAAAATTAGGCAAAAAATCTTTTTCATATCTCAAAGCGATAAAGCGAAATCCTATATTAAGGAAATTGCTTTTTATTAAGGATCATATGCAGTACAATGGTTTTTCGCCGCTGTTTCCGTCGGCGCGGCTGTCTTTGTATGGTTGATGCTGCCGGAGACGCATGGGAAGAAGCTGTCAGAGATCGAGGAGTACTTTCACAATAATTTCCTGGCCTTGGGAGCAGAGACGAACAAGAAAAAGCAACGAGCTAAGAGAAGAGCCCAGGAAAAGACAAAATCGCCGGCGACCGAGCCGCTCAACCCGAAAACCGTGCAAAACGTTTAAGATCTTTTACCCCTCTTTCCTTTTCGCGATCTACGAATTTTGTATATTAATACAGAGTTCGAGCGGTCTTATAGAGAAAGTGACCAAAGTATTATATATCCGTGCTAGTAGCCTCGATTCTTATACACGACCAATTTTTAATCACGTTGCTGTGCATTGAACTGTGCGCACGGGATATATTTTATGATCGCGTATAAAATGCAGGTCATTTTGATACTAATGATAGTAGAATTCAATGTTCGATGTGAGTCGCATTTAGCAAAAAATATCCGGCGAGAATGTTCGGAAAAATATTTTATAGAAGAACGAGAAGTAAAGAATGAAGTGTGAGAAGTAATACATTTTTTGCTTTTAATATATTTTCTTATAATGTATTTAATATTTATTTTATTGGTCATTTTATATCGGTCAGTAATTTTAATTTTAATATTTAAGAAATATTTAATATTTATTCTAAATTTAATACTTAAACGATAGAAATGAGTGTTGTTTGATGAAAAAAAATTTGATTCAATCTAAATCATAAATTTAATATTATAGATTTACTATTTTATCTTTGACAACGCGGATTATCATTATTATAATGTGTACGATAAAAAAACGAAGATGAATCATATCAAATGTTTCTCCGATAACCGTGTTTCTCGTCGGATTGAAGCTGATAACGCACGTCGAAATATATAATGTTATATAACGAGAGAGAAAGGGAGAGAAAAGAGAATCGCGGGAAGTACGCGACAGTATTTTGCAATTTGCAAAAATATATATATGTTCCAAGAAATATATATGTCCACGCATAGTGCCTCTCCATTTCTTTTTTTTTTTGTTTTTTTTTTCCTATCAAGATTTCACGCGAGAAAATCATCGTTACAGTATTATATCGATCTGATGTCGCGTAGATAGCTAAATAGATTATTGTTATATAATAATTTTATAGATCGCGCCATAGATTCTTTAGTTTCTTTTAAACGATGTTATCACTCCGGTCGCGTATCATTTTTTCACAGTAGCATAACTGCGATACAAAAACAAAATAGATATAGAAAAAAATAATAAATGATATAAAAAAAATATATATATAATACGTGTCAAACACATAAGTACGGTATATAAATGCCGCAATAATTGCAATTGTGTTGCTAAACTCTCGCATTCCGTAAAAAATCAAGAGTATATAGCGATGGACTTGCAATAAATTTCTTGAACAAATCGAGCAATTTCTTTGCGAAATCGAGTTACACAAACTTGCTGTGTCTGCGAAAGCGAATGGAAATTTGCGAGGACGCTGGAAAATGAATTAATCAATTATACCTAATTATAATTTGCTCGATTTCGATCATATCTGTCCACATATGGCAGTTGTTTACTTAAAGCAAACACTTAAGCTATGCTCGGGGAATACTTAATTTAGCGTATTAAAAACTATTTAGACGGATTGTGTTTGAAAAAAAAATTAATCATAAAGCCATCATAAAAACGTTGCAAAAATTTGTTCAAAATTTTTGTTCTATTAATTTATTGTTTTTGTATCTATTGATTTGAATGGCAAACAACGATGCAAATATAATTTTGCGCCTTTTATTCAAATTTAAATAATTAGATATGTAATTAAAATTTTAAATAAATCATTTCATAATTATCTATTCTAGAGTGTAATTAATCAGTAGATTATTTAAAAAATATTATATGTATCAACTAATAGATAATAATTAAAAATGCATCACTTTATATTATCAATTGGTCATAACATTTTACTTGTTCCGTCTAAATAGATTTCGAAATGTAGTGTCTGATTACAAAAATCCGCGACAAACGATAAATATATTCGTCAATTCACAAAGATTGATCGAGTTTTATTTTTTATATCTCGAAATATTTTATAACTAATAGATTATCACAGTAAATAAACCTTCCATAATTTTCGTATTGACGACTCGATGTCGTTCGTCGCGATTTTACGCAAGACACATTTCACCTTCGATTAATCGATCGGTTTCATCGATGTTGTGATCAAATGTTCGATTATTAATGAGAATTCTCATTCAGATAATAAAGAAGTTAAGCTCGATGCAGCCGGCCATCAACAAATGTACTTTTATCACATGTGATATCGTTTATTTTCTTGTTTCTGTTTTTCGTGAAAATGAATAAATTATTGAAATATTCAATTTATTTTATGGCTAAGAATGTAGTAAAGTATTGTTTTTTGTGTAATTGTAATTGCGCGAAAAGAATGACTTATAAAATATTTTGCGAAGAGAAGATTCTTTACAAGTAGTGAATAAATTTGTATCAAGAGTTCGATTACTGAAAGATCGGCGGAACTATTACGACGAATAAATTTAGAAAATTCATGTATTTTTTCTGCGTTTCGCTACTCTTTTTCATGTGATCAAAATAATATTTATGTCAATATATTTTGTATCGTTATACAAGCTTTTACTATAATATACACATGATGCCAGTGTAAAGTTTATTGAATAAAGCGATTGTAATTATTTTCCTACTTTGTTTTTACATTATAATCAGATAAATAATCCCAATAAAAGTTGCTTAAAAATTATTAGTATAACAATTATGTAACCATAATAAAATAAAAATTAAAAGATGTTTAAATATAAGCATTATGATTATACGCATATATTCTTTTTTCAATAAAAATACAGGATTAATTAAAAAGACCGAATTAGAACTTAACGTTTATTTCCTCGGAAGATTCTCGCAATAATATTCTTGATAAAGTTTTAACTTTAAATTAATGAGCGAACAAAGATAGAAATCATTATCACAATTGCCAAACTGTTGCGACAATTTCGTATAAAATTGTTATTTATATCCAAGAATAAAAAATAAAAATTTGCATTATTCAACGAAAATATGCAGGAAGTAGAAATAGCTGCTAATTTGTAGCAATACTTTTTATTATGTCACAAGTTGGCAATTACAATAACAATACAGTAATATATCATCTTTCGCAATAATCGTTTACGATTTATCAGCGTGAAAAATCTCAATAGAGTTCTTTTGCTTTTGTTTTATTTGCCTCTCTGCCTCGTCTCAAAACGTCGCTATGCGCCATACTTTTCTTAGGAATCAGCGGGAAGAATTGGAGATGCGGTGCAAATAAGACACCGTGTATATCTTTTTTTTCGGCAAGGGAGAATCCGAAGAGATCGAGGGTGCAACAAATGTTTCGTAAGCGCGATCGCTAATATAAAACATATTTCATCGGATATTTCTTTAATCGGTGCTTTCAGAACACCTTGCATATGGTACAAGCACGATGATGAGAAAAAGCGATCTTGAGATCATGGTTTCGCAAATTGGCGAAACCATAATCACGCGCGTTGACGAAGATAATAAACTATGCCACGCAGTTTAATAAACGTGAACCGTAATATACGAATAATTAAATGGAAAGTCGCCATCTCTTTTCTCCGACAATTTAACTGACTAATTCGCGCGACTTTCGCGAAGAGGCGGATTAACCTTAATTAGGTTCCTCGTTCTATGGCGAGTGTTGGATTTAATTATTCGGAAAATTATTTGGATGAATAACAATAATACTCACATGCTCGTCGCCGTGACTGGAAGCAAAAGAAGCCTCTTCGCACTCAATTAAAGTCCCGCGAAAGAAAGCACGAAATTTCAAAGGCTCGGAACTGCAGTGCAAGCTGCTGAATGAAACGCGCGAAAACTATTAAAGTGATGGCGCTCGCATCGGCGGCAACGTCACGACATTTCAGGGTACGTTTCGAAAGTAGCATTTTTATATCGACCAATCAGGGCACAGACATTTTTTCTCGCCTATGCGCGGGTAACTTTAAATATAACATGACCGATAGTACGAGAGATCTAATTACATCTGTCTGTTCGCGAAAATTATTACTCAAGATTAAAAAGGCATGACTTTATTAAAAAAAAAAAAAGAATAGCTTTATATGAAAAAGATGAGTAGGAAAAAAATTCATCGGTATCATATTAGCTCTCTCTTATAAACTATAAAAAATTGTTCAAGTTTTTCCTTAAATAATGATTTTTCCAAATTTAAGAAGCGTATATCGCATGGCAGATCGCACGCTGTCAGTCAATTATTATGTATACACGTGAATTTGTATCAATAATAATTCTCTTCGCGGGATAATAAATATTAGGGTATCTTGTATCATGCACAAAGCGAGCTTTGAATAAAAATTGCAACATGTATGAAAAAAAAGCATCCATAGGGCGGGTCGACGCTTAAGAACAAAATTCATTATACGCGTGAGAAAAGGGTAACACGTATCAACAAATATTAAAATAACGCACAAAGCTTATGTTCTAGCATCTATCGAACGATCCCGGGTTCGCATGAAGAGGAGAAAAAAGAGGGATCGCCAGAATCATCCCTTAACGCTCGTTACACAAGTTAAATCCTTACGTATATCACACACGCATTGACAATTACAACGCAAGTTTCGAATATCGATATATAATAATAATAATGCTCGTTTAAAACTTAACAGAACAAGCGAATCGATAAACACGATCACCACGCAGAGTCTGGCTGTGTCAGAGAGCCTCTCGTATCCTCAGCACGACCAACGCTGCAGGCAGTGACGATGAGCTACCTAATATCTGTATATCAATTATTATATTAGGTTCTACATATTATATATTGTATAATATGTATATGTATATACATAATCGTGATACACATCAGGCTCTGAATCGGTGCGAGCCGCAAATTTATGCCGACTTACTCTGAATATCGAAAATTGGAGCATTCAATGCTAGAAAGAGTGACGAAACATATATATATAATATATATGTATATTTATATATATATAATTCCATATAAATATATATGTATATTTATATATATGATTTAGCAACATTCATATTTCAAATACATCTTCAAATTTAAATTCGACCCGACGTATAGAGATGTGATTCTTGCATTGAATTCTCTAATTCTACGCACAATTTTGCCTGCTCCTTAATTAGCGCATACGGACCTTTAGCGGATTTAAAGGTGCGATTAATCCGTGAAAATAACGCGCGTAATATCGTTTATTAAATGCGCACAACCAAGTTCCTTCTCGCCTCTTTTTCTCGAAAGCCTACTAAATCGTATTTGTCTCGACAATAATTCAGCTTTCGAATAAAGTGTCACACAAGCAACACGCGCATGCAAATTGGGCGCGTAGAATAAAATATTTTATTCGCGAAACTTTCGAGATTCTATTCGGAGCGCAGAATGGAAAAAATATCGAGTCTGCATTGTAATACACTATCTGCTACACGAGAATAATCAATGTTTTTATCTCGAAGTTATTTTCACTTTATACGACGTCGGCAACAGAGAATTAGACTTTGTATCTTCTCCTTTCTTTAATTTCGTCTGTACTATCTGCGAAATTGCTCCTAAGTGATGATGAAAGACAATCAAATCCCGTCGCTTCGACGCCGAAGGCACCAAGTAAAAGAAATACAGTCTGTCGTTTTTCTTCTTTTTTTTTCTTCGAATTGCTCCTCATTTTATATTCAATATTCTTTTATTTTTTGGCACTATTTGGCCGTATTGTGTTCGAGACGTTTGAATTACTGCGTCATCACGCTGAAGTGAATTATCGAGGTATTATTAGAGATTCGTGTTACAAGGCGTTTGATACCAAGTGGACACACGATTCTATATCCAATACATTTGTAATACTTACGTCAGACAACGCAAACGTTTCCAAAACAAATTTTCAATATCTCGTAATACTCTTCAATGATTCACCTTATTGAATTTATAATAAAATTTTATTATCCTTATATATATATATTTATATAGTGTATCTCTCGACTAAATATATATAGTAAGAAAAGGACAAAAAGAGGATCTACATATAATATATATATATATATATATATAATTTTTTTCTTATACAATAAACAGAAACGACAATGGCACAAAGTGTTACTAAACTCGTTACGTTAGCGTTTGATTTAGCGTTCATTCAATTGGCAACGTGATGAATAGTTTAGTGTTAACGTTAGTCTCGAGCAGATCGATTTACTAATCACTGTTACTTTAATTATGCTTATTTTTTAAATATACGCGCTCAGCATAGAGAGAACAAAAAGAGCAATTTTGATAAAAATGGGAGAATATGTGGCTGACAAGGGGAGGGCGTGGACTTGGGGTCACCGATTTTGAAATGCGTTTAATATAGTATAGTACTCTATTAATAAAGTACTTGTGCAAAGGGATAGGGCGCAACGCTTAGCCATTCTTTAGAAAACTAATATTAGCGTTGTTTATATACCGAGTATTTCGGACCCATTTTCGAGATGTCGGGGTAGCTCAGGCGTTAAGTGCGTGGTAATAAGTTCGCGCCCTCCCTTTGTGAAACATATATTTTTTTTAAATATATATCTCAGCCACATATTCTCTCATTCTCTCACCAAAATTGCTCTTTATGTTCTCTCTATCTCTTTCTCACACACATATATTCCTCCTTGTATGTATATATGTATTATTTGTGTGTCTATGCATGGTCTCAAGAAAGACTATTTCGTTTGTGTCTTTTACGTCATTGTGCGTCCTTGGGAATCTGACTAGCACGTAGATTTCAAACGAATAAATTATGCACACATTTTCTTTATCACGTGTCGTTGCTATGAGATGCACCACGACGTATTTCGCCGGACACGCGATTACACTCGGCACTCGGTAACAAGCATACAATATAATTAACGTAACGTTCACTGGTAGCTCACGTGATTAGTATTCGGCTGCGCACTGAGAGATATTGAATCAGTAGACAGTGATGTTGCCTTGCATTCTCTTAGTTATCTGGTTTATTTAAGTGTCTCATGGAAGAATTAAAGTATTATGAGGAAAAATGTTCTAACACTACTATGTAGTTTGCAAAAATGTGAATGATAAAAAGCTCGGCCAACGAAAATACTGCATTTTCTGAATACTGTGACTATACATTATAAAACACAACGTAGCTTGCATGTATAAATTCTCATATGTACAGTATACGTGTATCATGTTGTAAGAAAAAGAAAATAAAACAAAAACACCGATTAACAGAACCAAAAAATGCCCACTTTGTAAATGGACACAGTAATATTACAAAAAAATAATTCTATAATCAAGGTAAAATATATTGTAATTGCCAGTCAATATAGAAATTGCAAGGTTGTAAGTTTTATAGCGTTTTCGATTGGGGTGCACTGGCTGCACTGAGTGTCAGGCGCGTCTTCGATTGGCAGTGCCAATGCGTACTTGGCTAGTGTTGCGTGTTCGTTTGAACGCACAACACTCGCATAGTGCGCACTCAGTGCACACTAAGTGGCACGAGATATTAGGTCTGTTCTTTTTGGCTGAACTCGTTGCACTAGTTCATGTACTAGTTCAGGAGTAATGCAGACTGGGACAGCATGTTGCTGTCTCTGCACTGCACTGGTTGCCCTTGCTCAAGACCTGGGGCAGGCAGTACAGTGAACTGTTGCACTAAGTTTGATTGCACTGATGAAAAGAACGGGCTTGTACGGTGTCACTACCGAGCACCGGTGTCGAAAAGAACGCTTCAGTGCACACTTCCTGAACTAGTGCAACGAGTTCAGCCAAAAAGAACAGACCTATTTTGACGGTGCCAGTTCAGTGCACTGGATGCATGCAAACAGTAGGGCATTCTGTTGAACAATAACGAACGAAAATTCGACAAAATGAGCAATTCGGATTTGGCTCTTTTTAATATTTTTGGAATCTTCTTCTAGTTCAAGCGAGGAAGAAGAAATAATTACAACTCTTCAAACTAGAAGAATAAATCAAAATTATCTAAGATAACTTTACATCTTATATCTTTAACTCCACAAATTAAAATTTTTATTAAACTACTTAAATCTATATAATATTCTTAGAATAATATAATTAAATTTAATTCCAAAAACTGTAAATTATGTAGCATGTGTGAAAAAAATGGATAATGACACTGTAAGTGTTATATCTTTTTATATAAACATCGAACCTATACCCTTTTTAAAATATAATTAATGTACTTAATGTAAATAATAGCGATCTAGTCAACTCAAGTGGCACTGAAAATTTCGGCGTGTTCCTTTTCACCTGCACTATTCAGTGCAATCCATAGAACTTGTCCAGTGTTCGTGTGAACTGAGTGCGCACTAACTTTTTCCCAATCGAAAACGCTATTAATTGACCACACTGGCTAATAATAAATTAGTTATTTATATTACACGTGCATGGAAAGTCGTCCATTACGTGCGTATCTTCTGTGCGAGAAATAACTAATTCTACACACGAGAAATTTTCCACTCGAAACAGTGCGGTAATATCTCATTCCCGCACAGTATCATTCATTACCACACAGCTCATTTCCTCACACTCTCCTTATTCCCCAATCATATCACCCCGCAAGTCTTTCTTTAAATAAAAATAGTAATTAGCTCTGTTAAACTACAATAATTGTAAACAAAGAAGAGCTATAAGAGCTATTAAACATAATACAGTTGTCAGATGATATTAATAAAATCTTTCTTTAATAATAACATTTAGAAAGACAGGGCCAACTATAACGAGCATATTAAATTAGTGAGAGATGTAATGTCAACACATAATTACTTTATTTGTTAGTAAATACAATGATAATAATAAAAAATAAACGTTTCGGCTGTTACCTCAGCCTTCTTCAGTAAATATAAAAAAACAATAAAAATTTTTTTTAAATAATATCAATTTTAATAAATGCGTCACCCAATATAAATTTAATGATTCATCAAAAAAACCAAAGGTTCATTACAAAATAGACTCTAATGCGTAATATTTCTTAATTTTATTTTTAAAAATTTTTATTGTTTTTTTATATTTACTGAAAAAGGCTGAGGTAACAGCCGAAACGTTTATTTTTTATTATTATCATTGTACTTACTAACAAATAAAGTAATTATAATAAGTTTCAATCAATAATATGCGCATAATGTAACCCTTTACATCAATTTATGGCCTGAAGAGAACCCAATTCCAGGGTTGAAACGTTGCCTGTTCAATAAATAACTTTTTATTATTAGCCAGTGTGGTCAATTAAAACTCACAACCTTGAATTCTATAATCCTTTTACGAAGAATAAACGAGTTGTAAAAAAGGCCTCTAACGAGCAAATTAATTAATTTATGAGTTTTTAATGTCCAGTAGTTTTGAAAACGCAGCTGCTAGTCAAATAAATTTTTTCTAAAAACCGGTATTACAAGATTTGGCTGAGCTTTCCTCGGTTGTCCTCGGTAGAAGTTTTAATATTATCCGATATTTTAATCTCAAATTTATCATCGTTTTCCATGATATTTCTTATATCAAAAATAACTAAGAAGAATGAAATATATAAGGCTCTGATAAAATAAACACAATAAAAATCCAATAATAGGCCAGTAAGAGCCTTCTTATATCAAAGAGCCGAGATTTCTTATATCTATCAAAGATAATGTTTGCATATGATGACCTGTGACAAGAGCCAACAGAGTAACTAACTTTTTCGATAATTCATCAAGTGAAACATCATTATTAGAATTTAATTTACACCGTATAGAGCTCTGTTGTACTATTGTGGGATTACCACCTCTCCTGTCGAGTTCAGGACTGTGAGAAGATTTTGTTTCGTCCGCCCATTATTTTATTTATTACTGTATTATGCGCCCGCAGCTTTGTGTAACCGCAACGCTGCTGGGCCGCATGCCCCCACTTATGTCACTAGTGCGCGTGGAGGGAATGAATTGTACTATTACGAGTGGTACTATTGCGAGGCTCCAGTGTATTTAAATAATTCAAAACTATTTTGTCCCAAAGAAAGTAATTGAGTACCACCTTTTCTCGGCTTCTGTTCACGGCTGACGCAGGCGTGACGCGAGTGGCGCGACTTTCCCATACAGATAGTAGGGACACGATATTAATGTTAATGAGCGTATGTATGGAGAAGTAGCTTAAATGGAAAGTTCGCGGGGTGCAACTTATCCGGAGTCTACTGTAATATTAAAAACTTATAAGTTTTTATTAATTAATTTGCTTGTTAGAGGCCTTCTTTTACAATTATGTTTTACATTTCGAGCTGAAATTATTTTTTAATAAATTTTATGAATTGTTAATTAATAAAGAACATTAAAGCCAGTTGGATTGCATGTTTTCTCATATCTTACTGACCCTAGAAGATATTCCAATGAAAATCAATTGAATCGGTCGGGGGCCGAAAATTGGCCAAATCGAGCCTGGTCCTTTCTTAATATTATTTTAAATTAAAACTTTTGTACTCGGCTCGAATTATTGTGTTACAATAAAAACAAAATATCGACGACGGCAATCGGAGCCTGTGCGGATGTCATGCACAAAATTAATAAATTAAAATGAGATCTCAAATAAAACTCATTTATTAAATTCTAAACGTTTCAACCCACTTCGGTTGTAATGTCATTCTCCTCTCTATTCAAACCGTTTGGCCGTCGGAGTGTCTCCCTAACGGTGACCATCGTCAGAAAGGAAGCAGAACACATAAGTGACTCCCTTACCCTTTATAATGAAAATATGTTTTAAAAATTTAAACTATATAAATTTATTTTTTGAATTATTTTTTTAAAGATGAAGTAAAATGAAGGTGTTCATAGAATTTTGAATTAGAAGTTCAAATTAGAATTAATTCAAAAACACCCGACAGTAAAAACAGAGAGAAGACGATGCTACACGTGACACATCACTCTAACGACTGCGGATTTATTTTGCGGATTCTACTGAAGAAGACCCCCGAAGTGGGTTGAAACGTTTAGAATTTAATAAATGAGTTTTATTTGAGATCTCATTTTAATTTATTAATTTTGTGCATGACATCCGCACAGGGCTCCGATTGCCGTGAATATTATTTTGTTAATTCGTTCTAATAAACGAGAGCATATCATAGCAATATTTGCCGAAGTTATATGACGCTCGCGTAAAAAAACTTCTTACTCATCTGTAATTAATTATATAATATTAATAATCGCACTTATTTTTCTACAAACAAATAGTAACACAGCACACATAACCCCAGGATAATCATCGTGCTGGTTTCACAAGCAACATCACTGTCGTCTCGAGTACCGTTTCACGCAAATCGCCAAGTGACGCACACACACATACACACATCATCAGTCTCTATTGTATCAAAACTTCCGAGTCATATTGATAAAACCATCGTCGACCATCACGGATTGGACTTACTGAGAAAGCTCATTAGCATTCGCTCATGCCGCGCGCCGAAACGGGCGAATCTCTTAAGTATCGCGACCCTGAGAGTCGTGGTGGTGGATGTTAGTTAATTTTTACTGTTGCTACGCGGACTGGCAGGTGTACTGTTCGCCTGTTGATGCGCACGTTGTATATAAATATTTAGCAATTTCAGTTTGCTAGAGTACAGACAGCTTAAGTGCGGCTTCAGCGCCTCCTCGCCAACCGCGACGTGAATCGCCACCATGCAAAAGACTGCACTTTTGCGAACCGCACTTTCAGCATCATCATAGGCCTATATATTTTTATAAATGATATATTATATATGTTTTCAATACTATATTAATTCAATATTCTTTTTCAAGAGAATCTATCTATAAACGCTTAATCCAAATTACCTTGATAAGGCCCGGCATAACCTTGGCAAGATGAGGTTCGATAGCTTCGCGTCCCCAATGTTCTACAACCTTGTGTAACATCTTTATCGCGCCCATATTTAACGGATACGTCTCCGTGGCGATTATAGTGGAAACTAAATGTATAATCTGTTCAGGCTTCAAAACCATAGCCATCGTTGCCGCGCACTTCTCTGCGTTCCAATGTACCTATTACAAAGACACGGATAGTAAGTGTGTTGATTTCTATCAATTAAAATAACTAAATCGATACTCACCGGAGATCTACCGCCGCTTCCACTAGAAGAATCAACTTTCTGATCGTCGGATTTGTAGGCATAAATAACTTTCAATACCAGCAACTCATTATAAGAAGAGAAGCATTCTATCAGTTCTTGACATTTAAGCATATCAATTAACGTTTGAAGAACTTCTACCTGTATAACTTTAGCATCGTTGGATAAGCTATCTAATAAAACTTTGAGCACTTTTCTGAAACATCAAAAATTTATTAAATTACTTGGATTAAAACTACCGAATAAAAACACGCAAAATTAAGAGTCTAGACATACTTGAAATTTCGTTTGATATACAACGCATCCCCTTCGCGAACAAATAATTGAAATTCTTGTAACACCGATACTTTCTCCGTAGTTTGCGCTACTTTAGATTGTAAAGTTTTAACCATATTATCTACAATTTCTGGTCTATTCGTTAAATCGGGCGATGATCCTGCGTATAAAAGTATGATTAGATTTCAATATTAAATTCAAAAGAAATTTTTAACTTAAAAAGAAAGTTAAAATACACACCGTGCGTTTTGTATCCATTATTCTCTTGAGGTAGAATCAAGTCACCAGCGATCGTATCAGATCCGTTTACAGTTATATTACTAACAGATCGTCCTCGTTGCGTTGGTGAAGAAACTGACGAAGATCGGCCCTAGAAACATTAACGATAAAAATGATATTATATTTTTCTGGTCAGTTCCTATTTATTGTATCTATATTTTCTAATTCAGCTTACCGAATTGGATAAAGTGAGACCTTCTATTCTTTCTTCCACATCGGCCATGTTGCTGATTCCACTGTCTTTGCTGGTAGTAGCTCTCTCTAAACGCTCGAAGCCGTAATTTTGTATTTCAGCAGTTGTGCGTCGTAATGATCTATTTGTTAAAGGACTTTAAAATTAAAATGTCTCAGAATTTTATAATGCATTTATAAAAACACAATGTTATACGATCAATACGACAAAATGATCGTTCACGTACTTGTACACTTCCTCCATATTTTCATCTCCATCGATTTCAGTTTTCGCATCCGTTTTAACGTCGTTCTTCGCTTTCGTTCGAGCTGGCGAGCTCTGCGCTCTAGGCGGTGGTGTACCGGGTGAGGCCGGATTACTCGAAGCGGATGATTTCCTTAGATGATTCTGCACTAGGGGCCAGGCTGTTTCCTGAGAGAAGAAAACAATGATTCAGCACGAGAACGAGAGATATAAGAAAAGAAACAACGCTGACGAATAGCTCGTTCAACACATACCTGATAATATTTCGGTAACTCGGAAAGTATCATAGTAACTTGAGGCGGATTGAGATTGTAAAGTGATATCACAGCGTTCTGCGCGTGCCTCTTCACGTCTTGACTTTTACCATCGTTTGACCAGTCGAGCAGTCGCGCAAGTGCTGTCGCTGCAGAACTGGTCAGCGCGGATGGTTCAGATGTCTCGGCGATCTGAGTGATGAATTTCAATGCTGCTACTTTCACGCGAGAATTTGGTGTTTGTGTTGGATCCGTCAGATACCTCATCACAGCTGGTAAAAGCTGTTGTCCCGGAAAATAGTCCCTGGACATAAAAATCATATTACGTTAAAACACATGTAATAATTGTAATAAATTAAATAATATATTAATATAATTAATATAAAAGTATCACGTGTAAGATTTGTATAATCCTCACCTTACGATATCAAGCGTTCTCTGGATCTTTGTTTGTATAGATCCCAATAGATCAGTGCCCAATTTATTGAGCAATCTTGCACATAAAACGTAAAGCCAGTCGCCAAGACCTTCGCTGTGAGTCATCACTAGTTCATTCAATGTGTCCAGAAACAAACTGAACACTTTAGTATGGGAATCCATGAACATTTTCGTAAAAATATCGGTCACTCTACGCAAATCTGACGATGTCAATGTGTTTCCGCTATTCAAATAATGCTGTAAGGCCACTAAGCCTTCTTTTCGATCTCCCCAATGTTTATGAGCACAATTTTCAATAATTTCTTTGATGTCCTGCAAAACGAGAAAAAAAACCATTGTGTTTCTTTCCAACTTTTAGTTTCAATATACATAGTTATGTCTAAGTATTTTTGATGTAATGTAAATGTATCTTTATATAAAAAAAATAATGTTTTTAAATGTTAAAATACAATTGCTGCATTTTAAAAATATTTAATGAATTACATAGTCAATATTTTTTTCAATGTGTGCAGAAAAATAAAAAGAAGGTAACAAACCTTTGGGATAGACTGATCCCATAGATCACGGTATAGTCTCGGTTGAGAGCCACTCCATGAGTACGACTAATGGGTAGATGGGCGATGGAGATGTGGAGAACAGAACGGCGTGTGGCGTTAGTCAATAAATACGCCGCAACAAAACCAAAAGAAAAACCAGACACATGCATTAGCTACATCTTCATACAGTGCTTAAAAGTGCTTTTTGGTATTTTTGAAATATACTTCTCTTTATTTAATAAAAAAATTTTTTTGTAATTAAATAATACAAAAATTAATATTAAATTTCTAAACAGAAATTGTATTATAAAGCAATATTTTTTATTTTATTCTATATATTTGCATGCTACTGAAACTGAAGTATTATATAAGCATTAATTAATCATAAAAAGCGATAAGAATCTATTAATTATCACATAAAAAGATGTGTAAATTCTTAATATTAATATATGATATATAAAAGCATGATATATGAAAATAATATGAAGATGTACCTAGTTTGTCAATTCAAATTCTTATGAACGCTAGTGTGTTAATTTATGAGAATACAAGTTTAACGAGACAAAATATTACGTAACTTCGATTTTTTGCTCGAAGTAACATAAATAGATATTGCAGCCGATAAACGCGCCGTTTTTTCTAATTTTTCAATTCTCAATAAAATTTCTACTTACATCGCTAGCTCGTCTGTAACCATCTATGCTTCGTTCCGAGCATATGCTGCTGTTTTCACTGTCGTCACTGTGATCTCCTTTGCCACCCGGTATTCTGGTGTAATTGTCAATACTGTCGAAGGTCAGAGCATCTGCCAAAGCGGACTCCGCCTCGCGCGACTTTTGCAGCATCTTCTGTGCCATGACTGGTGGCCTGGTGCTATCCGTCGGTGACATATGTAAATTTCTTCCCCTATTATTTTAAAGAATTCACGTCAACAGCCGCTCAAATAAATCTTCATAGCATTTGCGAGAACGAAGATTTGTATGCACCTTAGTTTGCTCGCGAAACTTCTGTCCATCCCAAATCTCTGTGGACTGGGCTCGCGACTGTTGCTTGTGCTGCCGATACCATGTCCGGATAATCTTCTTGGTCTGCCTATCAATGATTCGCCTTCGCGATTGTACGTGGCGTAGCTCAATCTAGATGACGGGGAACCTGATCTGCTGCTCGCTGTTGGGAAAAAAAATTCAGTTTTGTTAAGAATCTTTTCATTACAGTATGTTTCAATTATTACATCATTTTTTCGTGAAAAATCATGAAACGTACGTTGAGATTGCGAAACTCCTGACACTCTTGTTCTTGTCCTTGCAATTCTTTCTGGACTAGCAACTGCGTTAGGATCCGGAGATTTACTAGGACGAGCTGATGCAACATAAAATAGTGTAATTATATTCGCTGTATTTTATTAATAATTAATCTTGACAATAAATTAGGATGTTACTCACGAAGTGCTGCTGCTGCTTTCTGTCTACTCATATTCGCATACATTGTCCTAGCTTTCGCCCTTTGAGCAGCTTGCAAATCGATTGCGCTAGTAGATCTGACTCCCGGTGTACCTCGGTCTGTAGAAATATAAAATGGATTAATTTTACAAAATAACTTTATTTGACAACTTGTGTGCAAAATAAAGAATTAAATAAAAGCTCAACGTAAGACAACAGCTCCATTTGTGCGCTAATTTTTTATAGTTGCAGTGTGATATAACATGTATATAAGTGTGACCTCTATTTCTGAGGTAAATAGGGTAGAACAAAATTACAATGACTATCTGTTGGTCTTTGTAGTATCGGGATACCAGACTGACGATAAGATCGAGGCAAAGACGGAGTACGTCTGAGCGAACCTTGAGGTTGACCAATGGTCTGATGCAAATTTTCCGTACTACCTTCATACGTTTAATGCAAAGAAGAGAAGTCACAAAAAGAGCAGCATGAAAACAGAATGACAAGTTCTTTATATTAAAATCGCAAACACGAGAATATACAACATCAATATATTCCAAGTGCAACGTAATTGGTTTTAATGGAGCGTTCTGTTATAGACATAAACAAGCAGAAAATCTTCACCTGCCGCGCTCATCGCAGGTCTAGCTGTACGCGGACTAACACTCGATGATCTCGCATTAGCCACGATATTTAAGCTGTTACTACTGCCGCTATTGCTGAGAGACATCAAAGATCGTTTGTATGACGCGTCCAAATTATTAAGTAATATCTCAGCCTGCTCTGGAAAGTGATTTTTAAATGCCCAGAATGATCTGTAAAGAGAGAAAAAATTATTAAATCAACTTCTTTGTAAACAAAGGTATATATAAAAATAATGTTGCCAAAAATGCTTACTTCCTGGCGAAAACTCGCGCTTCCGCGTCGGAATCTGCGATGCCCTTTTTAAGTGCGTCCGGCAATACTGTTATGTGCTTCTGCAATATCTGCGTAGGCCAGGTCTGCAGAATTAGAGCCAGATATTCCCAGGACGCTTTGCGAATGTCTTTGCTCTTGTTGCTCACGCACGATATAATAATAGGCACATATCGACTACAGTGAGTATTTTGAAGGATAAACCGAACTGCCACTGCACCAGCTGTCGCCACGACCTAGTTACCGTGTGAAAATGGCGGGTAATTAAAACTCTCTTACCTTTTATAGAAATAAAGCGGAGATAAAAAATTAACAGATACAGAACGACCGTCGTAAAATTCTACAAGATGTTGACGTTTGAGAAAGGATATAGTAATTAAAATAGATACAACGAATCGAACAATCATCGGATCTGAATGACAGAAATCTAGTATTATTATACGCGTGACTTACCTTGGCACTGTTCTGTATGAGGTTCATTAACGTGAGCAAAACCGCCTCGCCAAAACTGGCGAATTTGGTCTTCAGGCTCTGACTCAGAAAGGCTAGAGTTACACACGCCTCTCGCGCTACTTGGGATCTAAGGTCTGTGCAGGCCTGATCGAATGGTCGCTGTACGCTCTTTAGGCATTCGTGGAAATTTTCGTAATTAGTACCACCCGCGAGTATAATGGCCCTTAATTTTTTCATCTGCAAAAATAAAAAGACAAATATAAAAGACCGTCATCGAAGCGTAATGGAGATTTAGTTTTTCGAAGCGACACGTACGCTATCTGTTCTCAGTTTCCAATCCTTCTTATCATCGCCCACAATATCCCTGATAATCTTCATCTGCTCCTCGAGGTCCCTTGCCGAAAATAAGGTGACAGTAGGTACATCCTCAAACGAAGTGATGAAGTACTCTTCATCGACAGCTCCGGCTTGCGCTGGATAAAAGACCATAATGTTTGAAGTATTCGTTTCAATACAAAATTATGTACATTGTGTATAATATAATATACATGTATATGTGTTAAATAATAATTATTTCCGAGAACAATATTCTCTTCATGCTTTACATTTTCAAATTAATGATTATGATACTAAGTTTAAAAGTTACACGATTTGCTATAAATACAAGCAGTCATCATACAAAATGATACGAAATACTACATTACAAATTAACAAAAATGATAATTGCAAATGATAATAAATAAGCATTGTATCGTTACACATGAAAAGCGGTATAACCGAGCAACAATGCATAGAACATTCACCAAATTCTTCTAATTAATAAATATTGATTATGATGTATCATAATGGACACAATAAATTTCGCTATATTATAGAACAATTGAAAGTCTTTACATATGATTTTCGAAAAGACTGAAATATGTAGATGTTAGAATAATTGCCAATAGAATTTAGTGATTATATACCTGATGTCGATCTTACTGACAGAGTTCTTTTGACAGTTGTTGACCTTGGGACCGTACAGGATGAACCAGGGGGAGCTGTCATGCAAGCGAACAGTTAGCATATCCTCGTCATCGAAACGTCAACGTCACTACGTTGACCTTTTGTTGGCGAGTTTTTCCGATTGTGTATTGTTAAACAATGCCAAAGCATTGCGCATTGCGGTTAAAACGTAAGCGTAAATCAAGTATTATAGTGTATTTTTCATATGTGCGTTTTGTTTGCTGATGAGAGACTTGGATGCTTCTGCGACATTCGTCCACACTGAGTCACGATACTCACATACATCATACATCCAAACATACATACATTTTAGGCGAAACAAGAAGACACATTTCAAGTGACATTTACATGAAACAACTGCTTATAAGAAAAAGCTCGCTGATTTATACGACACAAACTAACACTGTTATCGTTTCAATAAATGAAATATTGACATTCAACATTGATCTTCTAGCCGAATGACTTCAAAAAGTACATTGAATATAACAATTTTTATAAATTAAAAATAATTTAATCCACACCATATATTTAACGTCGACTACTACTTGCGCAATTTTCACAATAATAACTAATTTAAGAAAAGTTTTAAAGAAATTTACTTCATTGTTTCTACTCTTGCAATATATCATGCTCTCAATAAAAAAATAATATTAGATTGGTGATGTAAGTCACAATAATAATTAAAATCGTGAGATGTATGAAATGATCTAGTAATATTTAGATATACCTAAGGCAGAAGATGGTGTCCTAGCGGGCCCAAATTGACCTCGTTTCGGAGGCATATTCAACCTCTTGACAGGAGCAGATTTGATCTGCAACACAGATTTTTTTTCTTCGTACAAAACATCATATCTATTTATAAAGTTGCAAATGAGGTGCTCTTAATGCACGAACTTTATACTTACCGCTCTGTCGGTTTCATCGCTGTCTTTGCCAACTGAAACAAAAAAGAAAAATGATCAAGATCAGGACTTTGCGCATCCTTCTTCGCTAGTTAAAAAAACTTCAAAAGTATAATTGAGAAAATATAATACTTTGTTATATTCTATAATTTTTACAATTATAATCTCCCTCGATATTGTTTTAACATTGCCACATAAATATATTATTGCAAATTATTATGTAAATTAATATGTAAATTAATATGTAAATTAATATATAAATTAATATATTAATAATAATATATGAATTTGTTAATATATTAATATACATATAAAAATATACATATAATAATATACATATAAATTAACGTTACTGTGTTACGTAAGATAACGTATTATAATAAAAGATATTAAAAATATTTAAATAAAAATATCTGAAAATGTTGTACCAATTTATGCATTAATATTACAATTATTTTACACAATTAACGTAGAATAGCCTTCTCAGGATGTCTAGTAAAATTTGAAAATGAAACTGAAGGACATTTCCAGAAAATTTGGACGATTTTCCAATAGTATGATAAAGATGTCCAATGAACCAAAAACTTAATTTTTTTAATCAAATCGATATAAATTGCACGTTAATGAAAATTAACATATGTATTACAAATATTTGATATAATATTCTCTTACATTTTATTTGTCCGCTTAAAATCCATAAAGAACTTATGCGTAACTCATATTTTTGGACACCGTGGATAAAACATAATTGTATTATTTACAATTAATAGGATATTTTTTATAACTTGAATAATCTCAGCTGATTGTTTTAGCTGAATGTTTAGAATCTATGAAAAATTCAAGTGCACATTTCCATCAGGATTTTTAAAGAACGAACAAAATTCTAGAATATTTGAAGGACTTGAAGGATTTCATCAAGGATGACTAGACACCCTGCTTCTGTTTCGGCAAAATTATAATTCATGTACCTAGATCTGGGTACAGCCAAGGCGGCTTGTGGATGTCGCAGTGACATCCTCGTGCCCTTGCACCAGGATGCTTGACTATATTATCCCATTGCAATATCCATCTGCTGCTTGCGTCCCACAATTTTTTATCGATACTGGGATACTTCTTTAATCCCCGACGCAAGCAACAATGTCCCGGCATTAACATGCCAGCGTCATTCATCGCGAATGCGTATACGATGATACTTCAGCGGAAGCAGCAAGGATAAATTTCACCGCAGATAGCAACACAATTATAACGTTGACATTTCGCCAATGTCATCATCATCTTAACAAACCAGTTGCGGATGAATCTTTTTCATCTCTGTTGTAAATTTTTTTTTCAGCAGATATAAATAGCAATTCCAGAATGATATTGTCACAACTGTCCAATTAGCGATTTGAAAAACGAAATTATGCTAAAAAGACATTTAGAAATTCGAGATTTTTCAAGGTACTCTCTATTATCCTTTATTTTATTCCGCGTCAGAGAAAATTCCATCACGATCCTTTGATCGGCAAAAGTAAAAATAAATGAACTATTGATTTTTTATATTTTTTCGATGGTGAAAAATTCTCAAGAACTACGACAATATCGTTCTCAGGATGCGATAAAGAATATCGCGTGTAACGAGCACAGTTATCTAAACTGTTGACACACAACAGTTTAGATAACTGTGCTCATTATATGCGATACGGTACGACAAATGAGCGTTCAAATTTATTAATGCTCTCGCCCGATTCGAGAGATTCTGGCTAATGAATATTATGTGAGTTCACGAAAGTGTAAAATCTCGAAACGCTGCTCGCGAAACTCGTAAATGCGAGCAGCGCAAACCCAGTGAAAGTAATCTTCATTCGTCTTTTCCCGCGGACTTCGTCGTAGAATTAATTTCTAAATCCTAATTGGATTCCCGCGAACGTGCTTTATTAATTTGCCGCTGTAAGCGATTCATTAGATCGGTTAATTTCAAGGGATGCGCGAATTTAACGAGTACGAGATTGATCGACGTGCTGCTGGATTTCACATTTCGCACAAAATTACATTCGTCTAGCGATGTATTAAATCAGAGAAAAAAGTTTCATGATATTTGGAGTTTCCAATAAGAAATGATGATTTATTTTCATAACGAAATAAGTATCGAAGTCGTTAGCTTACACAGAGATACTGCAAGGAAATTTAACTTATTTTCAATTCTTTTGAATCCTCTCTCGTAATGTTTCAAGAAATAACTCAATCGATGAAATTCGCAAAACTCGTAACCAGCATCGAAGGGAACCGCCTAATAAATCATTAAGAGAAAATGACTGGAATTATGACGTAAACTGGCAGTTTGTGAGCAAATGACGACGGTAAATGACAGTGATTTCTCTCTCTTTCTGTTGGATTTCAAGATTGCCAGTGTAACAGTTCCTAATTTTACTCTTGCCTCTCTCGCAAGCACCTTATTATCTACCTTCCGAGCATTCTTTGCGGTCGTATTGAGCGCATGCACGCGCTCTCTTTCGCATTAAGAGGTTCTGTAATATGCAGCTGCGTGAGGCCGTTTATAGCGGTACACTAAAGATTTTTTCTTCTACGAGGCAAACACTCGACATTTGTCACGTCACTCGAGCTTTATACAGTTCTAAGTCGTTAACAAGCTTTAATCGTTATTTCACTATATATTGTGGAGGATTTTCTCTTAGAATTTACCCTGAAATCTCATAATAATCGTGGGACAATATATTGAAATAATTTAAGAGTTTCTCTGATAAATATTTATCACAAAAAATATTAATAATGTACATAGTCGAATTAATCGACCATATTTTATATCTTATTTGTGGTAGACATTAATATTTTAAACTCGTAAAATTCTTTCAATACCAGATTGTCCCACGATTACCATGATTTTCAGGATAAATTCCAAGAGAAAATTCTCTCTGTACAGGTAAAAATCAATAACGTAATTATGCGCGTTTGTGTAGTAGTTTAGTATTTTAATAAATACAAATCGCTCAATTATTCAAAATTTGATATTATATGCTTTAGAAATATATACGATACTTATGCTGATCATTCCTTATTTTAAAGGACAGTTCTTTATTTCAAGTAGCTGCAATGTCTTTTAGATTTATTCATTTTTTCCAAATTCAATTTTGTCCTTCATCTTTCATTTAGCGTTTTATTGTCTAATGTTGTATATATATATATATATATATATATATATATATATATATATTTGAGAATTTATAATATAAAAATTACCTCATATCCAAAAACTTATTAAGAAACCATAAAGGTTTGTTTCAACATAGTCAAATTAGTTTCAAACTAAGAATAAGAACGTAAACTCCCGATAGTCACAGAATTATTTTTTTTGCTCGTCGAGCTTTGGTCGCAAACTAATTTGGAAACATGTTAAAACAATCCGAAAATTTTCAAATTTGTCCCATATTTTCTGTCAGAAAATGTGGACACCACAGCTATAAGTAAAAATCAATAACTTAATTTATTATGCACGTTTTCGTAGTAATTTAATATTTTAATAAATACAAATAATATTATAATATATTGCTCAATTATTCATGTTTCTTTAAAAATGAAACGCGATGTGTAAATAATAATTGCAAAATAACAGAAATATTGATTTTCTCGAGTATGAATATAATCAGTTTAATGTTCTTCGACAGTTCAACATCTTTTTACATATTTGCTATGTGTGCACTAACAACAATCGATGATTCAATAATAAAACGCAAAATATTATTGAAGATATCGCTAACAATAATACTGTGCAGATTTTCTTTAGCTATCGGTCGGTGATCGCGACCCATTTCTTAATATCCTCGATATACCGGTGTTCTCTGTCCGATTCCACAATGAATGTACACACACACGTGCCGCGTTACATGTAACAAAACCGTTTAATGAGAAACCTCGTTTTCTCACGTTACAGATAGCATCGTCTCGCGCGCCTTCTCTTCTGACGTTCATTCAGATCTCCGCGCGTCGTTCATGAGTTGCCGGCTCCCGAAGCTCTTTAAAGCGCAGATATATCGTATATCTACAGACAATGTAGTCTCGAGTAAACTAAAGAAAACATTACACAATACAATGCATATTGTCACACAAATGAATAGCGACGATTCTATACAAAAATAAACATCAAATTACTCATTTTCATGTATGTTAATCATAATCATCGAGAGGGAAGAATCAGACTTTATGAATATATTACAGAATAAAGTAAATTCAACAAGTCCAGAATAAAAAAATTAACATACAATTTTATATAACAAAAAAAAGGAAAAGAATTGGCATCCTTAAAAATAATTATGTAAAATTGTATCAATCGAGGGAATCTATGTCACGTATAACTTTCAGTTTGGCTAAATATAGCTACGGTTATTTATTCAATTTATCTCGAGAAGGCTCATATACGAACATTTTTTTCAAGGGGAAAAAAAGAAACGAGCGTTTGATTTGCATCAATTTGTTCCTCGGGGCCTGGAAACTTGTACGCGTCGCGTTTTGTTTTAGGAAATAAAAAATTCATCCCACTTCCCGGAATCGGTTGCGTCACAAACGCGCCGATCGGCCTCTATTACGCGTATATACAGCCCATTACCACACACGTGCGCGGCGCATTTATTGCCGACGTGTAGATTAACATCATCTAGCGGTTAAACCGCCATCGTTCACATATAGAAAAAGGGACATCGAGCCGCACATTAAATCAAGCAAAAAAAAAACCGAGCGAACTCCCTATGAAATGATATCCATACCGCGAATGATAACGTTGCGCGCTTTCAACGCTAATTACGCGATCGTTCCAAAATCTTGATTAAAACGACCCTTATTTATCCCGAATAAATCTGGGTCTTCGTTTCACGCCTCGTTATAAGGCAATTTATATGAAACAATAAGGGCGCTACTTTGCGAAATTTTCTCTTCGTCGAAACACCGGCAACACTATTTAAAAGGCTTGATCTCGATAATGATAATTATTTTTTCCCCTTCGAAAACGCGAAATCCTGTTTCTCGCTCGCTTGCATAAGGATGT